TTGTCATTGTTCTCTACCACTTATGAGATATGAATGTTTTTATGGTAGTTTAAATTTTCAATTATGCGCCTCACTTCACACAGGCACGTGCGTTGCTGTGCGCCTAGGCTCCAAAAGACCTCTAGCACCTTAGGCCTTTAATAACACTGGCCTGTTCTTTTGTCCTACATCAATTTTTGGTATCAGAGCCAAAGTAGACATTATGTTTACTCGATCGGGCAATGAAACATTGGATGATAATCAAGAAATTGAGTTGTCGTCGCATATTTTGGAACAACTTAAAGGGCTGAATGCTTGATGCGATAAGATAGAAGCTCGAATTTTGTAGCCTTTTAACAAATTGGTAGCCTTTAAAGAAGAACATGAATTTGGTACTAATGATGGCAGAAACCGCGAGCAGCAACAGCCTTTAAACCCTCAGCAATGGTGTAGTTTGAAGGTTGATCCACCACTACATCCATGTTGGAGTTTCCAAGAATACTTCATAGGTGAATTATCATGAGCCACATGATGCCGCTGGAGATATTCCAAAGAAGTCAAGTGATGGAACGTGCAGCACACTGACAACAACAATGCTGCAAATGGTGGATCAACTGCATCTTTCTATAACATGGCTGATCTTGAAGGAAAGAGTACGATGCTAGCAAGGACAATAAGAACCTGCCTGATGATGAAACGTACAACACTGATCATCTGGAAGAGAATGAAGAAAACGTCTCCTCCATCTCCGTTGTGAAGCAAACCCTTGAAGACCATAGAGTTGATGGCGAAGATGGGCGACTCACATCTAATCTTCAGATGCAATTTCTTTGTGGAAACCAATCTCAGAAGCCTATTATTGATGGCGGTGGCAGCCCAAATGTTGTCTCCACAGCCATGGCTAAGCATCTCAAACTTTCCACAGCCCAAATCCTTGAAGACCCTGAAGTTGAAGATGGAGATGGGCGGCTTAACTCTATTTTTCAGATGCAAATTCATTATGGAAACCAAGCTCAGAAGCCTATTATTGACGGCGTTGGCAAGCCCAAACGTTGTCTCCACAACCATGGTTAAGCGTCTCAAATTTTCCATCAAACCAAATCCACAACCATTCAAAGCGGCTTGGATAGATAGTACTACTATTCCGAATCTGCCAAAAGATGCGGCTATTGGAGTAGATACTTGGTGTATATTAGTGGGCACTACAAAGAAATGGGAGCATGCTTGTGCCAAGCAACAGAAGCTGGTTCAAACATCCACCCACTTGGTAGATGAGGTCTGGAAAAACCGACTGCCAGAAGAAACTAATCCTGTAAATGAATAGCTAGAGGGGTCTCGCGCATCAAAAGAGCATTTTAGAGAGTTTAGTTTTCCTACTATTTCCTCAGTTGGTCCTAATGCAGCAATTATGCATTATAAACTAGACGAGAAAACACGTTTAGGACTTGATCCAAACATCATTTGTCTATTCGATTCGGGAGCACAATACCTAGATGGAACCAACTGGGTTGCTCTTTATGTTCTTGCTCGAATACATTCATGGAAGGATAGCCTTGATTTTCGACATGATACAGGCCATGGAGTTGGTATCAGAGGTGATGGGTCAGATGCTGATTTTGTTCTGGGGTTGCCTAGAACTAGTCGAGGACATGATGCTATAATCATTGTTCTGGATCGTTTTTCGAAAAAGGCGCATTTCCTTCTATGTTCTAAGACCTCCAATGCTGTCCACAATGCCAAACCTTTTTTTCAAAAAGTTGTCCGACTTCATGGGTTGCACAACACTACTGTTTCTGATTGAGCTCTGAAGTTTATGAGTTGTTTTTGGTGCAATTTATGGAAATTGCTGAATATAAGGCTGAAATTTTCTTGCTCTTTTCACACTTCAAAGCAATTTCATCCCTTTAAATCGTCAGAGCCGAGTTTTTCCAAGCCGGGGAGAATTGGTAGAGAATAGTGGCAGCAACCTTTTAAAGTATATAAAAGGCATGGCAAGGAGGATTCTAAGGCTCAAACCTTAATTTGGCACATGCTAGACAATGGGGGGTCCACTTGGAGTCTTGCATAATTAGGGGGTTTGGTCAAAATGCATTATTTTGGTAATTGCATTAATTATGGTGAAATTGCATCGTTTTGGTAAATTGCATCAATTAAGTTATTTGTTACTTTATTAAGCTAGAGTCAACTTTTGATTACCACCATTGTAGGGTAATCCAAGGGTCATCCTTTATTATAAAAAGGATACCATGTAATTCTGATTACTAAGTCAATGAATGAATAACAAAATATCTTTTGAGATTTCTTGTAAGTGATTCACAAATTCTGAGGGTGTGAGGCCTTCTCTAGGTGTGATACCTAGGCCCTGTTGGAGAGATTCCAATAGGCTTTTCTTTGTTATTTTCAATCCTTCTTCTCTACCAACAACCCTCGAATTTTAGCTTTGTTTTCTGAATTTCCAGCCCACAACTCTTATTTGATTTCCTCTATTTGAGCCAGTTCTTTTGTCCTACATCACTGGTTCGCCATGACCTATTCTGAAGTATGCAGAAGCGGCACAGATCAATGTACGTGCCTGATTCATTATATCACACTTCAAGATGTGCAGTTGGGGCACAATCTCACTAAGTTCCCAGGGTGAACTCATCAAGGTGAACTCACCTGGAAGTCTAGCACACCATGACTCATAAAGAGACAAAACGACATCATGTGACTTTTGGATGACATATGCCCTTTATGATGTGGGGGCACTTAACACTTTATTGGATTGCCACAGAAGCTTGTTGAGGATGTCTATCTGCTTCAATGACATCCTGACGTTGTCTCCCTCATTGTTACCAGCTTGTTGAGGATGCCCTAATTGCTTCAATGACATCCTAATATTATCTCCCTCGTTGTTACAGATTGGACCTCTATATTAGAGCATGCCCTTGAATTGCTAGAAGACCTGAATACATACGTAGGACAACCCTATTGGAGCCCCACATCAATATGAGTAGGCCCTGTCTTCAATTCCAGTCTATATGCCTTTAACAAACTTTGGAAAGGGGTATGGAGGAAGAGAATGGGGAGGTGTTACCACAATTTTGCGGCTTTTTGGGCATGCAAGCATGACAGAGTCCTTGACCCAAGCCGAAAAATCGGAAAACAAAATCCCTTAGGTCAACCAGGCCGATGGCCAGACTATGAAGGTGGTGGATGTGATCAGCGAATGTTAGTGCAGGGATCCTTTCAGCTGAAAACCAAAGGGTCCAACTTATAAAGTTGAAGAGGAGAGTCTCGGGGCTTTAGGATGCTGCCATGTGTCCCCCTGAATGTTTTGATTTGGCCCATGTTGGGGGTAGGTGAGGTCAACACATCACCCCCAATGCATAAAGTGCTTGGTGATACATTTTGGTGAAAGAATCTCTAGGCTTCCCCACCTGAAGCTTGTAACTTTCCTCTTTGGGCATAGTTGAACTGCTCAAGGCATATTGGCCGCTGACTCCTGCAGATTCCCATGTACAAGTCTATCCTTGTTCAACCGCTACTTTGTCTGGCCGATTCCTTGGCTTGGTGGACCCTTGGTTGATGGTCTGGCCCCTTTGCTTCCTTGAACACTGTTTACCATTCAGGTGATCATCCAATCCGCACTTATCTCTTGGTCTCCACAGTAATGGAGAGCACATCTCTTGGATCTGGCTGTCCTAAGCCTTTATATATCTAATGATGTTCAGTCTACTTAGTCTTGGTGATAGAATGGGACCTTGTCGGCCACCGCTTGCTGACCCCCAATTCAGGAAGAAAAAAAAAGTGATTTACTGACCTACTGGCAAATTGATCAACTCTTGGGGAAGGGTACTTTAGCCTTACATAGGACACCATGAACCATGAAGTCAACCTCCTCTTGGGGCCAACATTAGCAAAAGCTTGACCATCTTTGGGAAGAAAGCTTGACCTTGACTTTTGGTCTCGTCCTCAAGTCAGGATTGGAACATTTTTGTTGCCAATAATTGGTTGGCTTATCTGACTCGGTGTTCCACCATGGCTTGGTAATTGCAATTGGCCATCATCAGCCTAAACCAAGCCTAAGGCTGTAGGTTTTAGGCTGTTCACTTACCTAATCACGTGAGTAACGTGTGGCATTCTAACATAGTGCAGGCTGCGGAACACATTGGCCCATAAAACTTTGGCGATTTCGCCATCAACCTTGCTCCTGTGCAACGAAGTTGGGGACACGCATCCCACTAAGACGGTTCCACACAAACAGAATTGGGGGCTCCAAGTTGGAACGGAAATGGGTTTCAACAGGATGGTAGCCTCGAAGCCTCTTCCATACCCTTCACCTTGACCTCTTAGTCAGAAAACTTTTAAGCCATATTTCACATAGATCTTCAAACCCCACCTTTAAGCCCTTATCCTTGGTTAATTTACTCTACTTTTCCTTGGGTAAGGTTTTGACCCCCAAAGTCTATGATTCCCTCTCAACTGTGATTATTTCTTTATTATAAGCCAGCCCTCACTTCCACCCTAGTCTGGTAATGTGGGATCTCTAAATGTCATTATCATAGATTCATAATCATGTATCCATTACCCAATTTAGTCGAACAATATTTAAAGTTATTCTAGAAGTTGAGTAAAGAAGAAATGCAAATTGTTGAAGGATATTTAAGTTACACCTTTAAGTTACACCCTTTTTAACAGCTTGGGCTTTTGGAGTAGATCATTGTTAACATGGAATCAGAGCCAAAGGTCCCGAGTTCAAATCTCACCGTCACCCGATTTAAAAATTGAAACACGTGATGGACCAAAAGAAGCCCACAAGTGAGGGGGTGTGTGGAAGGATTTAAATATTTAAGTTACACCCTTTTTAACAGCTTAAGCTTTTGGAGTAGATGGTTCTTAACACAAATCTTATTACAACGCAGAAATGAGTTAAGTGCACCAGGTAACAACCAAAATTCCATATTATAATCATTCCAGAAGAGCATAGAAGTTTAAGAATCTAAGGAAATTACAAATGTAAAGTAGAATAAGACCAGTACCTAGCTGGATAACCAAGAGGTAGCTTTGGTGAAATAGACACTAGTGCCGCTAAAACTGTAGCTTGCCCATGCAAAGAATCAAGCTCAATTTTCAAATTGCTACCCTGGAGAAAATATATAGGGAATACTCTGTTAAATTAATATCTGACAAAAAGCAACTAAACCAAAGCAAAAAAATGTAATCAGAAGGTTTGCAACTAAACCAAAGCGATATAGACAACTGAACTAACAAAGCCATAATCCTAAAAAAAATAAAATAATTGATGAAAAATTGCTTTTAAGTTTTAACAAAGCCAGCACAGAGAAAACAAAAGGACAGGAAATTTTTGCCAAAACAATTAAATGGCTACATGAATAAACAGCAGCAAGACAGGAAGATTCAAATATATATATATATATAGCAACCCAACTAAGAAAGAGAAAAAACCATATAAGACTACCGAAGAGACTAAACCCTCGCGAAGTGTTACCTTTTCAAATGAAACATTTTCTCTTAATGCACTTAATGTAGTAGTCGCATATGAAATCAAACCACCAACACAGGTGGGATCAACCTCAGCCAGTGCACGCAATGTCAAAGCAGCCTCAACACGAACCTAGCAAACGTTCTCCAGTTAGTATTGTGTTATCAAATAAAAGCATGCCAATTACAAATTTTTGAAGAGCCAGAACTTACATCTGAAGTGTAAGGATTATAAGATTTACAGTTAAAAGGAGAATTTTGAATATAATGTCCTAGTAGATTGTAGACGTCAATGTCATCAAAAGTTGAAACCATAGGCACATCAATTCCTTAATATTAGCTCAAGGGCCCTCAACCTCATTTTACAAGAATTAATCAGGAGTTAAACCCAAAGATAAAAGCATGATAAGAGAAAAATAGGAACCAAAAAGAGAGAGAAAAAAAAAAAGTATTAGAGAGAGGAAGGGAAAACACTAAAACAAAATAGCTTTGACCAATATTACAGTTACCCGTCCAAAATTTCCAATATTCCCAAAAAATAAAACAATAAAAGAACCTTAATATCTATCTCAACTTCAGCAAGGGAAAACTTCACTAACCTCCTCTAATGCAAGCCAAATTTAAAGGCAGAAATTAGGGAGAGGAAGCCAATCCTTCTTCAAAAAACTAACAAGCATACGGAATTGATGTTGAACTTAAATGATTAATAAGGATCTATGCAAATTTTGAGATACTGTTTATATATGACTTTCTGCACCAGGACACCCAGCACCCATCATCAACACCACCATCCTCCTTTGTTACTACCATACCTCTATAACCCATCAATGATCACTCCCCTCCATCTCTACAACTCAAGGCTGCATTGCCATCATTAATGACCACCACCACATTCTTCTTATATATTGGTGATATTGAGCTATTGGCTTAGATCTGGAGAGGATATAATGACTATTATGTCCCTTAGACTGTTAATAACTGATTATTGAACCTCACCAATGGCAAGCAGAGGGATTATGTCCAGCATAATTCGAGTTTATTTTACCTCACTTTCTCTATACATTCTTCATCTATAATTTTCGGTTGGTTAGAAAGTAGTCGCAATTTCCTTGCTAGATGAAAATGCCCACAAGTAGACAATGGCAATGAGTGGATGGTGGCTGCAAAGTTGATGTTAGTTCAAAATTTGAAATTTTGCAGACACATGATTTTTTGCAGACAACGGCAATGATGAGTTATAATCAACAGACACTAAGCTGGTGATTTATTGCCCGAGCACAAAATAATAATAATGACCATTCATTGATCTGAATAATAAAATTTTAGATTCAACTTATCCTTCCCATAACCATCAAGAATTCATTCGTTATTTTTTAAACACGCGGCAACCACAGTTACAAAATCCATATAGTACTGACCAGAACAGATCGGAACAAACAGTTCTCGCAAAACAAACAGAGTAATCACTAACCACAGCTCAATGCTATTCTGCTAAATTTTTAGGCCTGTTCACGGATGATTTGGGTATTCCAGCAAAAAATCGTTTATTTGTTTGGTATATTGCAAGATCCCTCTAGTAGGAATTCTGTAATTTGAAGGAACTTGAGGAAAATAAATTCAAAAGTTATTTAAAGAGCAATAGGTAGTAGAAAAAGGTATCGAGTGCAAAACAAAATCCAGATAGATTAGAAGGGAAGTGAGATGGGGCACTCCTATAACTAACTCTGTAAATGATTTTTGGCATGCGAGGTTTCAGAGAGCATTGATGGTGAAGGTAAATAATAATACTTGAATTACGAAGTTAATTCTCGTCCAAATTGAACTAAATAGGAAAACAGGATTACTTTGTCCACCTAAATAAGGGTAGATGTTACCTCTCAGTTGGAAGACCTTAAGCGTAAACATGCTTGCCAACATATATATTGTAAAAAGTAAAAATCTGACTTTTCTTATTCATAGAAGTTGTTAAATACCTTATGCAATGATTCCAGTAACAATGTTCATTATTATATATTCATATATGGAAACCATGGGACAGAATCTAAACTTTTTATTTAAATTCAAATATATGACTAAATATAAATGTTTTTATGAATATGTTCATAAATAATAAATAGCAATAAATCAAAAGAAGTATGTAAAAACACATTGGTAACATGTTCCACTCCATTGCAAAAAAAACTAAAACCCCAACAAAATTCACAACTACAGTAGCAAAACAGTATAGTAAGCCCACCCCTCAAGGGAAGTCTAGTGAAACTTTTGATTGCAGCAAAAATCAGATAGATATAATGTTGGAACTTTAAACCTTTGAAACAGCGTAAGAGAAAACAATGAGAAATGTGTGAGGTACAATTATGTAGATGCAAGCCCAATAGAATCCAATTAGCAACAAGAATTTGTAATGTTCAGCAAAGATGGATATCAAAGCCCAAAGAAGACCGACACAATCAAGAACTTACAAGTGTTGAAGAATTAGACAATGCTGCAACAACTGTGTCATCAAGGAGCTCCTTGAATTCAAGTGGAACCTGCAAATGAATAGATGAAGCAATACTCTCACAAGACTAAGATATTGATAAAAAGTTAAAAGTAGACTGAAGTCAAAACATGCAATTATCCTAAGGAAAATGATATTTCAACCGAAGTATTTGACTGATTACTTTGGCAGAAACTACATGGCCTGTCCAGCTAAGCCACTTCCTTCTCTTTCTCTCTCATCTCTTCTCTCTCCTTTCTTTCTTTTTCTCATTCTATTTCTCTCTCTAATATCTCTTTGAAAATTTTTTAAAGACTGTGAAGAACAATATAATCAAACAAATAAATACACATATTTACCTTCCAAAAAAAAAAATTACCCATATGATACAATATATATAAAAATATATGAATATGATATATGATATAAAGTTACAACAATACTTTAAATATCAAAAGTTCTTTCTCTTTTTTTTTTTTTTGGTAATTAAAAGTTCTTTCTCTCTTCAAGTTAAGATGGTAAGAAAAATTGTTTGAAAAGACGAAACGAAAAGGGAGAGATTTGATATCTATCAGAAGAAAAGAACTTAGCCTAGAACTTGACAACCTGTGAAAGATGAATCTGCGGACGCGTATATTGTTTTTCCTTTTATTTTCCTTCCTTTTTTTAATTGTTAAAATTGCTTACCTGGACTGCCATGTGTATTCTGCCAAACTCATCTGTCAAACTCATCGGACTATCTATCACTACCCTTCTCCTAAAAGACCATCATATAAGAAGCATATAACAATTTAATATGGCAAAACCGCACAAGTCTCAGCCGGAAAATAAAAAATGATAAGTCCAAAAGTGTATATATATATATATATATTTTGATAAGTCAAATATATATATATTTATATATTGAATAACCAGCCTGCCTTAGGCCAGTTCTCATAATTTCCACTATTTTCTCTTCCTCTAATTCAGGAGAACGATGTACTAATAACCCGTGGAATTCTTAACCATACAGTGTGAAAATTACAGCTGAACTTGGTTGTGTTAAATATCTGTATGTATCCATTGGACTACACCCATGGGCAGAGCTATGGTGCTAAAATTCTGGGGAAAAAATGGGGGGATGCGGGGATCAATTCATCATGTTTAACGTGAATAGTTGACCCCTCAAAAACAAAGGAAAAGGGTAATGCTGGTCAATTTTTATTTTTAGAAGTGCAGGTAAATTTTTAAAAATAAGAAAATAAAATTAAAAAATCTCCTTTTTAATGCATACTTAGACATTAAACACTTATCTGCCACTTACCTATCCAAGGACCTAGGCCATGTGATAGTAGTGTAAGAAAGAAAACAACCTCTCAGTGCATGGATATAACTTTTGCATAAATATTATATCAGTTCATCTAATTTTCCTTTATCTAATTACAGATTGAAAATTTTTAGTAAATTTATATTATATGTAATTGAGTTGTGAATACATAGCAGAGAAGTTGATCTTTGCAGATTCTGTAGAAATTAGGAGTTGACAGTATTAGCAGTTGAAGACAACACTTGAGAGAAATAATAGCTCTGCCCTCGACTAGACTAGATTATCCTCTAATATGCTCGAAAGGGCTTTCAAGATAAATAAAAAGTTGATACATAAAAGGGACACTTTACCTGGACCTTTAAATTTCCAAGAGTGCCATTGCAAGCACAAGAGAATGTAAGAGCAAGCATGGGTTTTACAAGGGACAACCCTACTGGTATCTATACCAGATATGCTGTGATTTTTACAAACTACATTTTTAAATACTAAACTTTAAAAATTGATTATTATAATATTCCATAATTAGTTGACAGAATCAGTTATTTTAAGACATGAGAATTATTTCATAATCAAAACTTATCACTCCTGTAAATTGATAATAAAGTAATAAACTATATATTCAGATACACACACACATATATAAGAGACAAGATCAACTTATACCTGGTGTGATAATTGTTTATTTTACACCCATTAATAACCTTTTCTAGTATATCTCTTTCTCAAGGCCCATGGTTGGATTTGATGCCCATCCTATAATTATCATGTATGCCAAAATTTAAGACTATTAGAATTTGAAAAAAGAACGCAACAACATAATGAACCTTCAATAAGTTACGGAAGGATATAAGAGTACCCACTCATGCACCAAGCGTACCTTGACCTTGATTTTTTTTTTTTTTTTTTTTTTTTTGACATGTTTGATCTTGACTTATATAATAACTGATGAAATGTTTGGTACAGCTGTCCATAATAACTTTTTGGTAAGTAAATTGTCAAAGGAAAACAATGTCACATAATACATATAAACCACACAAACACGTATGCTCCTGCTTTTTCGTATAAACAGCTAATGTTTGCTAAATTGCTATGCAATGAAACATTATTTTAATAATTATTGACAGAGGCTGTGGCTTCAAATGTTACTAGCCTAAAGTGTATGTAATATTTCCAAAACTGTAATAATTTCACGTCTGGAGAGACAAAAAGGGAAATAATCGGAATTAATGAGCATATTCTTAGTGTTTTATCCATGTCTAATAGATTTCCTATACAAGAAAGCATATAGAGCACGATATAAATAGAGAAACCGATGGCAGTAAAAGTAATAGTGGCAGTCAAGTGATAGTAGTGATGTCAAATAGTGGAATTTACAGATTCAGCACTGATGGTAGAGAAGAAGCTGGTATTAGTCTTTGTGACAAAGTTATAAATGATGCCAATAATGATGGAATTAGTAGCAGTGGTTGTGGCAAGGAAACAGAGACATGTCGATTGCAGTAAGTAAAACTAATAATTTCCATGGCAGTGGTGGCAGCAGCAAAGACATTTGTTAAAGGATTTATATATTTAAGTTACACCCTCTCTAACAGCTTTAGCTTTTGGAGTAGATGGTAGTTAACATGGTATCAAAGCCAGGTTCCGATCCTAGGACCTGTGGGTTATGGGCCCAACACTCCATCAACTTAATTAAAAACTGAAAACACGTGCTGGACCAAAAAGAAGGCCACACGTGAGGGGGCGATTTAGAGGATATAAATATTAAACTTACACCCTCTCTAATAGCTTAAGCTTTTAGAGTAGATGGTTGTTAACAACATTCATGGTAGTATGTAAATCTACATTGGTAGTATAGTGGCATGATGAGTAAGGGGCAGTCTGTGCTGCAGAAATGGTGGATATAATGGTGATAATAGTGGTGTATGGTAATATAGATAAGTTTATACTAGCTCTCGAAAGCAAAAGAAATCTTAATACTATCACAAGAAACCTTTTCACTTGACAATTTATTCAACTTTTGGGCTTCAAAAGATGTATTCTATAATCAAATTGACCTAACAAAGTTCCATTACCTTCTTTTAATTCTTCACTTCCTAGAACCTTCTCTTAATTCTTCACTTCCAAAAGTCCTATAAAAAAAAATTATTAAGCTAACTAAATAACACCTTGCTTATGACCACGTCTTTAAACTTAAACCTAGTACCCAAGCACCACTTCATAAAAACTTAAGACAAGGAATTCTTACGTATTCAATTCCTAAGAGACATAGCCACACCAATCAACCCTTTGAAATAGATTCCACCACTTCGTATGATTCATTTCATAGAAAAGATAAAGGCCATCATCCAATGATGTCAGCCAATATAGGGCACAGAGAGACATGGACTGGGCATATATATGATCTCAAGAAATTGCACATCAAGTGGTTGTCCCAGCATAATAGTTTTAGTTCTGAATAACCCAAGGAACTAGCAGTATTCCTTTTGAAGATAAAATATATAAATAACAATATATACATGAATTCATCAAGTTAGGAGTAATATCTTTTTTGAGGCTAAAACTTGGTGTGACTTCAGTGAGCATCCTCCGGAGAACAGGAATTATTATCTGTCAGCAAGAAGAACCTTTATCGTACCTAACCATTTTATCACAAAGATCTTTTCTAGATATAAAGATCACAAAGTTCTTAGCATGTCAAAACAATCACCTAAAGTCACCATCTACTGAATATTCTATCCAGACTTTCTTATATCCATAAATGTTTTCCCTTACAGGAGGAAAAGAAAAAATCCAGCAAAATCAAGAAGCTAAAGGTCAATAATGATGGTGGCCTCACTTAAGCATCACATATATTGTTTATGCTGATAAGGAAAAAATATATATATAATAAAACTATAAGAGTAGTGCTATATAATTTCAGTCAAGCATGTTGCCCAATACAACTTTAGCAAATTGTTTGTCATAGCCTTCAAGTACAAACATTTACGATAGACCCAGATCATTTTCCCACAAAAAAAATTAAATTACAAAATTGTGCCTCACCTCTCCCAGAGTTTTCAGAGTATACGACAAAGTACGCAAAGCAGCAACTTCCATGGAAGGACTAGCATCAGGAGATTGAAGCTGCAACAGAAAACTTGCTGTGTCAGTAGAGGAAAAACATTACTGGTAGATTGATGTAAAGAAAATACCAACTTCATTCTCAACAACTAATGATCTAAAATGAGTCATTCTAGCAAACCTGTTTTCCCAGAAAAACTAAAAAGCTCCTTTGAGTAGGTTCAGTCATTTGATCTGTTACACCCACCCGAAGAATATAAAGAACACATGCCTTCAAAAAAACCAAGAGAAGCATTATTTTGTGGGTAGCATGATTTTGTAAAATGAAGAATTAATGAGATACTAAACCATCTTTCAGTGGACAATAGAGACGATAAGTACCATGAAGCTTAAAAATGCATCTTCAGTATAAAAATATTTTTAGTTTTTACATTGGGAATAATATTAGACTCAGATTTGTAAAATATAGAAAAGTTGTTGTTATTACAAACGCAACAAACCCAAGATAAAACCAAGTGGTAAGGGGGTGATGGGGGCGTCTGTTTCCTCATGAAGCTTCGAATTCTATCCTGGAATGTCCGTGGTCTCAATGATCCGGGCAAGCAGAAGGTGGTGAAGATGGCAGTTAGAAAATGGGGGGTGCATTTGGTGTGCCTCCAAGAAACAAAGATGGACTCTATGACGGAGAAAGTGGTTAGGAGTTGGTGGGGGAATCGCTTTGTTGTGTGGGAGGCGCTGGATTCTGTCGGGGCTTCTGGTGGTATTCTCATTATGTGGGATAGGAGATGGATGGCTAAGATGGAGGTTTGCAGGGGGAGATTTTCTTTGTCTTGTACTTTTGTTTTGGAGGAGGATGGGTTCTCTTGGGGTTTTTCTGGGGTGTATGTGCCGGTTGATGATGGTGTGAGGGATGGGTTGTGGGAGGAGTTGAGTGGGGTGAAGGGGAGGTGGTCTCTTCCTTGGTGTGTGGCCGGTGATTTTAATGTGGTTAGGTCACCGGCAGAGAGATCTACAGGTGGTTCGTGGACTCAAGCTATGATGCATTTTTCTGATTTTATTGATGGTCATCAGCGTATTGATCTTCCTCTTGAGGGAGCTTCTTTTACTTGGTCCAGCGGGAGGGAATCGCCAACTCTTTCTTGGCTTGATAGATTTCTGATTTTCGGCGACTGGGAGGAGAAGTTCCCGGATGTTGTTCAAGCTGTGCTGGCTAGGGTTACGTTGGACCATATCCCCTTGGTTTTGGATTGTGGAGGTTTGAGATCTCGTTGCACTCCTTTTAGATTTGAGAACATGTGGCTTCGAGCGGATAATTTCCAGGTCTCTTTGCTTTCTTGGTGGGAGGAGAACCCGGTGGTGGGTACGTCCAGTTTCATTCTTGCAAGCAAGCTTCGACTCCCGAAGAATAAGCTCAAAAGGTGGAATAAGGAGGAGTTTGGGAATTTGGAGTGGAGGAAGAATAGGGCTTTGGCTGATATTGCCGAGATCGATAGAATAGAAGGGAAGGGTGTTCTCTCTGAGTCTCATCGCACTAGGAGAGCAGCTTGTCAGGCAGAATGTGTGGAAATTGCTCTATTGGAGAAAATCTCGTGGCGCCAGAAATCTCGGGCCTTATGGCTTAAAGAGGGGGATCGTAATACCAAGTTTTTTCATAGAACTGCTAATGCTCATAGGAGGGGCAACCATATTGGGCGACTGTGTGTGGATGGTACGGTCTTGTCTACAAAGGAGGAGGTGCAAAATGGTATTGTCTCTTTCTACCAAAGGCTTTATTCTGAGCCTCTTCGATGGAGGCCAAGGCTTGATGACCTTCATTTTGACTCTATCTCTGTTTTGGAAAGGGATGGGCTGGAGGTTCCTTTTTCGGAGGAGGAGGTGCTGAAGGCTCTCAAGAGTTGTAATGGCGATAAGGCTCCAGGCCTCGATGGTTTTACTATGAGATTTTTGCTGGAAAGTTGGGAGGTGGTTAGGCTTGAGATTATGAGCACTTTTCATGAGTTTCATTCCACGGGGAGATTTGAGAAATCACTGAACGCATCCTTTATTGCCCTTATTCCTAAGAAGGGTGGTACTTCAAATGTCAAGGACTTTAGACCAATTAGTCTGATTGGGTGTATCTATAAGATCATTGCGAAAGTCCTTGCGCTTAGGCTGAGGGAGGTGCTTGATGGAGTTGTTTCTAAGTCTCAGAATGCCTTTATTGGGGGTAGACAGATTCTGGACTCGGCTCTCATTGCCAGTGAATGCGTGGATTCTAGACTTAGTAGTGGTGTTCCTGGTGTTCTTTGAAAGCTGGATATCGAAAAAGCCTACGATCATGTCAGTTGGAATTTCCTGTTGTATCTGTTGGAGAGGATGGTTTTTGGTGCGAAATGGAGGAAATGGATTATTACATGTGTTTCCACTGTCAGATTTTTGATTTTGGTTAATGGGTCTCCTACGGGATTCTTTGGTAGTTCTCGAGGTCTGAGGCAGGGGGCCCCTCTTTCCCTATTTTTGTTTATTATTGTTATGGAGGCCCTTAGTAGGCTGATGAGAAGGGCTGTGGATTTGGGGTTTATTAGGGGTTTCAAGTTCGGCCCTGAATCGGTTCAGCAGATGGAGATTTCTCACCTTCTTTTTGCGGATGATACTATTGTTTTCTGTGAGGCAGAGGTGTCCCAGTTGTAGTATTTGAGATGTGTTTTGATTTGTTTTCAAACTGCCTCTGGTCTGAAAGTCAATGTGGGTAAAAGTGTGCTTGTCCCTGTGGGGGAGGTAAAGGATGTGGATTCTCTGGCTGCTGCTTTAGGCTGTGGGACGCAACGCTTCCCTATTTCTTATTTGGGTCTACCGCTGGGGGACTCGGCTAGGAGGGTGGGAAGTTGGGACCCGGTGATTGAGCGGGTCGAGAGAAGATTGGCTGGTTGGAAAAAGCAATATCTCTCCAAGGGTGGAAAAGTCACGTTAGTGAAGAGTGTTTTGTCAAGCCTTCCAACATACTTTCTCTTGCTTTTTAGGATTCCAGCCTCTATTGTGGGAAGACTGGAGATGCTCCAACAGAATTTCCTTTGGGGGGGTCGTGGGGAGGAGTTTAAATATCATCTTGTCAAATGGGATCAGGTTTGTAAGCCTCTTCAGCTTGGTGGTCTCGGAATTAGAACACTGGCCCCCTTTAATAATGCTCTTCTAGGCAAGTGGCTTTGGAGGTTCGGCAATGAAAGACATAGATTATGGAGAAACGTCATTTTTTGTCGTTTTGGGGAGGAGAGGGGGGTGGTCAGCTAGGCCTGTTAGGGCTGCTTATGGTGTGGGGGTGTGGAGGTCCATTGGGAAGGGGTGGGATGAATTCTCCAAACACATTAGATTCAGAGTTCGGAATGGAAGATTTGTCAGGTTTTGGGAGGATTCCTGGTGTGAAGATAGGTCTTTGGCTCTGTTGTTTCCAAGATTGTTTAGGATTGCTGTTGACAAACATGCTATGATTGTTGACTACTATCGTCTTGATAGCGGGACGTTGTCTTGGGATGTGCAATTCAAGCGACCTTTTCAGGATTGGGAGTTGGATGATGTCACTGGCTTGTTGGCCCTTTTGTATAGACAGGAATTGGATGGCACTGGTGTGGATTCCTTGTTTTGGGTGCCTTCTTCTAATGGGACGTTCCAGGTCCGGTCATTCTTTGTGCGCCTCTCTGGGTTTCATGGGTTGCCCTTCCCGTGGAAGACGGTGTGGCTCTCTAAGGCGCCCCTTAGGGTGGCCTTTTTTGTGTGGACTGCAGCTTGGAGTAAGATTCTGACTTTAGACAATTTACGGAAGAGAAGACATATCATTGTTAACCGGTGTTGTCTTTGCAAGTGTTTTAGGGAGTCCGTGGATCATCTTCTGTTGCATTGTCCTGTTGCTTATGAATGTTGGAGTCTTTTGCTTGGTTTGTTTGGCATCCATTAGGTCATGCCTCAGACTTCTCAAGGATTGCTTGATATCTGGAGGGGCCAATGGGTGGAGGCTCAGGCTAGAGACTTCTGGAGGGTGACCCCTCTTTGCGTTTGGTGGAGTCTTTAGAAAGAGCGGAACAGAAGATCTTTTGATGGGAAGGAGTCCTCTATTGGAGAGCTGAAATTTTCTATTATTTGTACCCTTTTTTGTTGGGGTTAGGGGAGGGATTATTCTTCTTTAGAGGACATTGTGGACTTTTTGGGTTCTTTGAGTTCATAAATTCTTTTTGTGTATATCTCGGGACGCGTTCCCCTTTTGAACGCTTTCTAATACATTTTACTTATCAAAAAAAAAAAAACAGCCTACGTCCACGGTTGGAATACGGCGAAAGTTTTTACTATGTGTAAAATTGGAGATTACATGTTTCAGCCCCTCACTCTGTTTCTGTACGAATTTCAGAGTCTCTCTCTTACCCACTCCAAACCCTAAGCGCCCTTATATATCGGCCTACAAGAGACTAATTAGGGTCAAAAAAATTTCCTCAAACCGTCGGGTCATAAGTGGGCCGCAACATGACCCGCCACCAAATTCGGGCCACAACATCACACTTGTTATGTATATGCTCTTCCAATCACAAACAATACGCAGTGGTCTGGCTGAGGCCGCTGAGTAGTTAGAATGGCCCTAATAATAAACTGCTAACTTATTATTCAATTCAACACTGCATACCAATTATTTAGAGTTGATTACAAGAACTATGTTTCATCGTTGTACTCCATCTAAGGTCATAGTGTGATCTTTCACACTGGTTCAGTCACTGGTCCTTGTTTCACATGGCAAATCATGAAGAAAGAAAGAAAGAAAGTTGAAGCTGTAAAATTGATAACTAAGCTTTTACCAGTGATTGTGCATCAATAGACGTATCCACACGAAGCATGTCTATAACCTGCAAAGCAAAGTTTTGAAGCTCGCTATCTGGATGCAGATACTTCAGACGAATGGCCTGTAATATAAATAAATAACAAAACAGAGCATTACTGCCAAAATTGAGAAGTGGGCTGGATGTTTCTAACAATACTTCCAAACCTTATACAATAAGTTGAAATTTTATGGAAATAAAAAGTAAAGAAAATGATAGCAAAACTGCAGATAATGCAGTAATTTAATAACATTGGATAAAAAATGCAGGTCCAAACTATGCATTTCTAGCAACAGCAGTTGCTAATGGAAATGCATAAAAAATGAAATGAATAAAATTTAAACCAAGAGGTCAAAACGGAGAACTATGGAAGATAAATACTGTGACAAGTAACTGCCAAGCAAATACAATAGTTCGTCAATGACTACTAGTTTTACATTTTGAAAGCACTCCACTGATGCAGCAAATTTAGCAATGTTTTTATGTTCAAGCCGGAACTAATGCATTTCCAACCACAACAAGCTCAGCATCTTTGGAAACAAAAGCACACAAACGAAAAACACATTACCTCTCCAAAAGAGGGGAAAAGGTCTTTTAAGTACATTAATCAAAGTGACTAGCAAAACATAGAACAGTTTAACCATGACGAATAACAACAATTTCAAACAACTCTACTATATAATATATCCAAACGCATATACAGAGAGATATATATATATATATATATATATATATATATATATATATATATATTTTGATAGATACGCATATGTACATATATTTATATCCCAAAACTCTCATCCACAGAGGGAAAAATGGGGTACAGGCTGGAATATCAGAAGCTACCTGTAAAAAGAATACCCATGATAATGTCAGGCCAATTCGCATGTCCTTCGACCGAGGTCCACTTGCTGCAATTAAGAAATTGGTGGAAGCGAATAAACATTTACAAGATATTAGGAGGAAGGAAAGGATAACAACGGCTGTGTCCTCTAATGGAATAAATGCTACAAAATAGAAACTCATCAGGATACAAACTGATAAAGCAAAAAAAAAAAAAATAGAAACTCATCATGATACAAAATGATAAAGCAAAAAAAGATTAGGACACGTGTTACCAACTTGTATCAGCCATACCTTCCCAAAAAAAACTTGTATCAGCCACATGCGCATAACATTAATGCATCAGAAACAAGCTAAATTTGCAAAGCACCAACATTTAAGGAGTGAAATATAATAAGGACCAAAAAGAGATGGTTATACCCCCGATTTAATTATATGAAATAAACAGGCCTTGTCGTTATCAGCTCTAGATTTTAAGGAAGGCATTTCTCTTTCCAATCTTGTCTTGCCACTCATTCACCAACATACTCAAAATTGCAATTTATTATAGAATGTTAATTCCTGACTTGCTACACTTCTCAACAGTTAAAATTGTCAGCCTTATGGCAGCCTCTAAAATTATTTCCTTTATACAGACGGAAATTTAAATCATGCCACAATCTACAATGTGATCCAGGAGACCATTTTCAGACCACTATCAAAGCTGGTAGAAGACTGTTTTCGGATTTTTTTTTTTTTTGATAAGTGACTACTTTTGGAATTTATACAAACATCATAGAATCCTTAAAGCCCAATCCTATTCCAATTCCCAAAATTTCCGTACACCAATTTCGCCCATGTAATATTCTCCTCATGGGCGCTGGATGTTAGGGATTTTCGCCCTATTAGCTTGGTGGGTTGCTTTTACAAGTTGATTGCAAAAGTCTTGGCTTCCAGGTTGAGGAAGGTTATGGATGGTGTTATTTCTAATTCTCAGGATGCTTTTGTGGGAGGCCGTCAGATTTTGGATTCAGTTCTTATTGCTAGCGAGGTGTCGACTCCAGATTGAGCAGTGGGGTTCCAGGTGGTTTGTGCAAACTGGATATAGAGAAGGCGTATGATCATGTTAATTGGAATTTCCTCCTCTACTTATTGGAGAGGATGGGGTTTGGTGAGCGAAGGAGGAGACGGATCCATTTTTGTATCTCTAGCGCTCATTTCTCTGTCCTTGTTAATGGTGCTCTGTCAGGGTTTTTCTCTAGTTCGAGGGGATTGAGACAAGGGGATCCGCTTTCTCCTTTCCTTTTCCTTTTTGTGATGGAGGCTCTTAGTAGATTATTGAAGAGGGCTGTTGAGTTGGGGTTTTTGAGAGGTTTTCGGGTGGGCAGAGATGGTGCTAGTCAGTTGGAAATTTCACACTTGATGTTTGCGGATGATACTTTAGTTCTTTGCGATGCTGATGCGTCGCAACTGAGATATTTGAGATGTGTTTTGATTTGGTTCCAAGTTGTTTCTGGGCTTAAGGTGAATGTAGTAAAGAGCGTTCTGGTTCCGGTTGGGGAGGTCCCTGAGATTGAGATGTTTGCTCAGATTCTTGGATGTCGTATTGGCTCTTTCCCCATTTCTTACTTAGGGTTGCCTCTGGGAGCCCCTTCGAGATGTGTGGGGTGCTGGGACCCAGTTGTGGATAGATTTGAGAGGAGACTAGCGGATTGGAAGAAGCAGCATAGTTGTTAAAGGCTCAAGGCGCACAAAAGCGCAAATGCCTCCTGGAGCCTGAGGCGCAAGGCGAGGCGCGCGCCCGACTGAAGCAAGGTGCACATTGGAAAAAAAAAAAACAAAACCCACCTAATAAAGTATTAAAGATGCAATTGTATATAAAAAGATGCAAAAGTCAACTAAATGAATTACTTAAGTTCAATATTCAACATAAAGATGTCAAAGCCAACTAAAAAATACAGAGCTTCAAAACAATATTAACATTTCAATTTTAAAAGGCAAAAAGCAGAATATTATTTCATGCAAAAAACACATGGATTCAGACTATTCAGTGTTAAGTTTGATGTTAATTTGACTTCAATTTGGTGTTACAATTTGATGTAAAAAATGCATTTCCTCAAACAGTCAAACCAATAACATTCTAAGAATGGAACAAATACAGGCATACAATTTGGTTGCATGATTTCATGAGATCCGAAAAAATTTGACTAATACAAAAAATTTCACCATTTGCACCATCGTATATGGGTGTTGTCATGAGACATTTGAGGGAAAAATTAATTATTGAAATTTAAAGCATATTAGTAGTAAAACTGAAACACTACACGACAGTAGAAACCAAAGACTATACAAACCAGGTTAATTAATTCTTGGACAAAGACTAGGACAAATAAGTACTTACAGCTCTAATCTTGATCACTCTAGCAATTTAAGCAAATGTAAGGTATTGTATCAAATATATATATAAAAGTAAAAAGTAAATGCATCCATTTGGATAACTTTATGTATTTGGTTCATAATAAAATAAAAAATAAAAAATAAATAGCAACTGTTATTTTAAGATTAATAAAAAGAAGAAGAAAAATAAAAAATAAAAATTCTGCCAAACTCGACTAGGCCGAGAGAAGAAAAGAAGAAAAGAAGAAAGAAGAAAAGAAGAAGAAGAAAAGAAGAAAAGAAGAAGAATAGAGGGGGAAAAAAAATAAAAAAAGGAGAAGAAAAATAAAAAAAATAAAAAAAAATTCTGCCAAACTCGACTGGGCCGAGAGAAGAAAAGAAGAAGAATAGAGGGAAAAAAAAAAAAAAACTAAAAACTGAGTCGCCGACGAAGAGAAGAGAAGGAAGACTGGAAGAGAGAAGAAGAAGAGGAGGAGGAGGAGGAGGAGAAGTTGGAGAACTTACCGCCGACGCAAATCTGGCAAATCCAACGCAGATCCGAGACCAAGTCATCCTAGTCGTCGCTCTCGCTGCCTGCCTCTGTCTTTGCTTTACTTTACTTTTTTGTTATCTTTTTTTCTTCTTTTTATGTTGTAAGTTGTAACATTTTAACTAATAAAATAATAATATAATAAAAACAATAACAATATAAGAAATAAACAAAGAATAAACAATTAAAAATCCAGCATATTGTGGAGAAAGACTTAATAAACAATCAGGCGCGCCTTTAAAGAGCCTTTCGCCTTGCGCCTGTGCAGAAAAGGCGCACGCCTTATATAACACCTGCGCCTTAAGTCCCTAAAGGCGATGCGATGGCGCCTGGCCTCCGGCGCCTTTGACAACTATGAGAAGCAGTATCTCTCTAAGGAAGGGAGGGTCACTCTGATCAAGAGAACCCTTTCTAGCCTCCCCACTTATTTTATCTCTCTTTCAGATTCCTTCTTCTGTGGCTGAGAGAATTGAGAGGTTGCAGCGCAATTTTCTTTTTTTGGGGGGGGGGGGGGGGGGGGGAGTACCATCTGGTTCGTTGGGAGTAGGTGTGCCGTCCGTTTCGTTGTGGAGGTTTAGGGCTTAGGAGGTAATTGCCTTTCAATAAGGCTCTCCTTGGGAAATGGCTTTGGAGGTTTGGAGTTGAGAGGCATTGGCTTTGGAGGAGAGTTATCGCTTGCAAATTTGGGGAGAGCAGTGGAGGGTGGAGTTCTCTTGAGGTGCGTGACCCTAGGGGGGGTGGGGGTTTGGACCTTCATTCGGAAGGGGTGGGAGGATTTTCGCAATCATGTTCGCTTTCGGATCAGGGATGGTAGGAGGATTAGATTTTGGGAGGATGTTTGGTTTTAGGAGCTTTCTCTTGCTCTCTCTTTCCCTCGGCTCTTCAGGATTGCTTCTCATAGACAGGCATGGTGGTTGACTATTATCATCTTGTTAACGGGAGACTGACTTGGGATGTTCAGTTTAGGAGGCATTTTCAGGATTGGGAGATAGAGGACGTTTCTCGTTTGTTAGAAGTTTTGTATAGCCAGGTGATCACAGTTGGGGATTCAGATGGTTGGCTTTGGGTTCCTAACTCTCAGGGTCGGTTCGAGGTGAGGTCTTTTTTCAGGTGCCTTACAGTTGATGCTCGGGGCCCCTTCCCTTGGAAGTCTATTTGGCATTCTAAGACCCCCCTCAAAGTGGCCTTCTTTGCTTGGACTTCTGTTTTGGGAAAGATTTTAACTCAGGATAATTTGAGGAGGAAGAATCAGGTGGTGGTTAACCGTTGTTACTTGTGCTTGCACGACGAGGAGACAGTTGATCATCTTCTGTTGTACTGCAGTATGGCCAGAGACTGCTGGGTTTTGATGTTTGGTTTGTTTGGAGTTCCCTGGGTTATGCCTTGTTCCACTAGAGGTTGATTGAGGCTTGGAGAGGCTTCTCAGTTAGGACTCTCATTCAAGATGTCTGGAGGGCTACTCCTCTTTGTATTTGGTGGTGCATTTGGCTGGAGAGAAATCGGAGATATTTTGATGGAAAGGAGAACCCTGTCACTTTGCTTAAATTCTCTATTATTTCCACTCTTTTTTGTTGGGTTTTAGGGAGAGATTATAGATCTTTAGAGGAGATTGTTTCTTTTTTGGCCTCTTTAAAGGCTTGAGGCTTTTTTTGGCCTTTGTGTTTCTTTGGGATCCGCTCCCCTTTTGAGCGTTTTTTTATAAAATTTTTACTTATCAAAAAAATATATATTCTCCTCATTCCTCAATGTCATACCTCAGCCATATACCCGAAAGCACTTGATTAAATTGGTGCAAACTCCTCACTCTTAATCCCCAATTCATGATGGAGAACAAACAATATCCCAAGTGACAAGATTGAATTTGAACTTTGAACTCCTCCCTGATAATTTTCCAAAGAAAGTCCCTCTAAAGCTTCTCAAATCTCAACAATGTAGGCCGGAATGGATAAAATAGACATGAAATACATGGGTAAACTCAAAAAGGTACTCATATTAAGAGTAAGTTTGCCTCCTTTAACCAAGCACTGCCTCTTTCACACCCGCTCTACAACCAAGTAGGAAACTGAGGTCACCTTAAACGAAGCACCTAGGTTTCCCTAAATAAGAGGAGGTAAGAAAATTTCACCTTGCAATTACTTATCAAAAAAAAAAAAAAATTCACCTTGCAACCCAAATTCCCAGCAGACCATGCACACCCTCCGCCTCACATACTAGAAAATTCTACTCTTGGCTAACAATTTTATATCTTCTAGGGGCACAACTGCTAATTTCAGAAGGGTGATTGCTTAATTTTAGAAAACAGTATATATTATTGTCATACCTGTGTTATGTTCGATTTGCTTTAGTTTAGTTAGTAAATGTTATATAATGGTATGTCAGGTTACTTTAGTGTTGAACGGTTAAATTGACACCAATAAGTTATCATAGCAGATTAATTGGGTAAAATTGTCTTTTCAGCATCTAATAACCCTGGAAAAAAAACCTTTGAGAAAACCAAACAGCCAAATAATCACTTCTAATGGTGACAGCATTATTGGCAGCTAATGCTAGACAGTTACCTGCAACTTATAAGTGATCACTTTTTATAATCTCTTACCAGCAGTCACTTTTTATATTTTGCAGTTGTGCCAAATGGCTAAATACGCTATTGCTCCATTTGGTAAGAGGGATGGAAAAATGGATGTAAGAGAGAGCAGGAAGGAGGGACGAGGCATCCCTACGGAAACGGTAGTGGTCCCTCTCTTTTTTTGGTTGGAAGGAAGGGAAGGAAAGAGGATGCTATTATTATTCTACCAATATACCTTAATATGTATAAATTGAATACTTAAATGAGTGTAAGAATGTCTTTTTACTTTTATCTAACAATTATCCTTTTTGTCTCTCCTCTTCCTCCCTCTTTTGGATGGAAGCAAAATAGTGGGCCTAGAGGGATGCCTCATCCCTCCTCCCATCCTACCCCTCTTCCTCTCCCTTCTACCAAATAATGGAAGCTTGCTCCATCCCCCCTCTCTCCCCTCCCTTCCCCTTCCTTTCCTACTGCCAAATGTAGCATAGATGTCAACGTATGAACAATTATTCTATAAATTTCTTAATAATGAATCTTATCTAAGATATGAACTCTTTACACAATCCAAAAGAACTAGTTGCTTTTTCAAGGCTTTTAGGGACCTAACAAAAATGTCTAGAACTCAAAATAAACTACCTAGAGAAGATAATGAACGTCAATACTTTTAACTCGTGTGTGAATTCCAATCAGCAAACAATAGGATTAGTCCAATCCTTCAAGTAAGGGCAGGATTATAGTCCAGAAAGAATCATACCTTTCATGAAGGGCGATGCTAAATGCCTCTGCAAACCCCCTTCAAGTTTCTTCAGAGTAAAGGGACCTTTTCCCCTTGGTTGAACCTAGTAAGAATAATAAACAATGAGAAGACACCAAAAAAGAATAGAATGTGAACTGATACCAAGAGAGAGAAAAATACCTGTGCCTCAGGATTCATTCCGAGAGCAAGTAGTGCACCCAAAGCTTCAGCAAAGGCATCCCGAACAGATGAAACAGGATCCTCAAGGGCCTAATAAGAAAAGCAGAATTGAAGATGAGAAATTGGTTTTTCAAAAAAGGAAGAACAAGAAAATTACAGGAAAAGAGACTCAACCTACTTTGACACAATAGGAGGCAGAATTGTCAAGCTCCCCAACTCCTAAACCCGGTCCACCAATGTTCGCAAATGCCTTCAGACATCTTGCAGCAGCTATTCTAACCATAAAAGATTTATCTCCAACAGCAAACCGCATTATGAGACGAAATGCCTCTGTATATGCTGAAGAAGCAGCATTACCACCTGAGCCTTCCAAAGCATTCTGAAGCATATTCAATGCTTCCAGCCTCACAAATTCCTGTAGTGATAAGTAGTAAAAATGGATATAAACAATCCATATAAAGTAATATACTGAAAATAAGAAAACAAAAATCATCATGTATTAATAATTATCAGTTTCTTGAACCAGGAAAGTGTACTCAGTTCATCAAGTTCATGTTTCAACAGCCATAATTCTAATTCCCACCAGTATCCAGTTGGCTGCTGAAGCACCTCAAACCTTCTAGATTTTTTAAGGCAGACACTTCTGGCAAGTAAAAGGCCAACCATTCTTGTGGCATAACAATAGTTGCAAGTTTTTACTTTGAGTCTTGGGGGAAAAAACAAACTATCTTCACAAATAACAAATTGACCAAGACAGCCATCCAATTAATGATGGGGCACTTTGAAAATTTATGACCACCACATTCTCATCAAGATACTTGTACAATCTTATACGACCCTCAAATTCTTTATGACCTCAAATTCTTTAAGAACAGCAACTGCTAATTCTCCATGGATATCTGCTATGCTAGGTCTGCCACATACAGAACATTATGTTTTTTCGATAGGTAAGTAGTAACCACACACACACCCAAGCGCCTCCAAGGCTTGAACTCTAGACCTCCCCTTTGGGGAGTAAGAGCCGGTACCGCTGGGCCACTTGGCCTTTTAGTGCCACATACAGAACATAAAGCTTAAATTTCTAATATTAAATTACGAAAATGGCATGAGAGTATGAAATAACAGAATACTATAAAAAAGAAATAGTTTCAATTTGCAAAGGATTACCTCACCAAACTTCATCAATTTTGTCACAATAATAGTTGTTTCGAGTAATCCAGAAGTAATTCTTCTCCCAAAATGGTGATATAATTCTCCCAAGCATTGTACAGCACCTAGAAATTTGCTCTCAGAAAATCATCAATAGAACATAAACGAAAAAATCAGGATTTCAATCACATAAATGATAATTATATCAATTTAGTGTGTATCTTTGGATAAGTGCTCAAACTCCTGCATAGAGATCAAATTAAATGAATAAAAGATTCCTTCGTACCAATTGTTCCCATTTAAACACCACTAAAAAGGATGTTATTGATACCATTCCTAGTTACTTTTCACAACTTGATACCATTCGGAGAATTGCTCCTTTGACTGCTACCCGTGCCCAAGATCCAAAAACAAGTAATCATTAAAAATTCAAAGCTTATAGACAGTCCTTAAGTACCCCCATTAACAACAAGTCCTCACATCAGGCTTGGAAACAGTTTTGGACACCCTTATTACTGGCAAATCCCAGTTCACCATACATATAGTTAGAGGTCTCACTCAAAAATCCAGCTATAAAGCCTGAGCATTTTCCAAATGATAATTCAGCTGAACTTAACTCAACAAAGTCAAGTCCTTTTCTGACTACTTATGCTTGGTTACATATTTACATAGTTCATAGACAAATAAACAATCTCTAGGTGGCAACACCACTAAAAACTGTGACCACACCACTCAAGAAGGGCACTTCTCCAATCTGACAATCTTTATTCTGATTCCGCACTCCCTCCCTTCTAGATAATCAATCAAAGATACCATGATTAAACTTAAAAGAGTTCTTGTCTATCACCTATAAGAAATAAATGTATTCTTTGTAAATCAATTTTCATTATACTCTCGTTTTCTGGTATTATTCATATTATTCATATATTATGTCCTAGTCTTTCTTAAGCCAGACATTTGGTTTCGAAGGTACCTCTTCGTAGATCTAATATCGACTTATATCCTACTTTTCAACTAAAACTATGCCATCTACAAAAGGCTATGTTACATGGCTCTTTAGAAATCCCTTAAGTACCCGCTTCGGACATGATTCTCAGACATTGGCATGTGATTTGTCAACACATGATTGGACATGCACCTAACAAACATATCCAACAATTCGAGATTATTATATAATTATATATGAAAGTCTTTTACTATGTTCCTTTTGTTTCAAATGAGTGAAAACATTATTTTACTCTAAATAAATATAGGAAAAAATAAAAGACTAAAGACTTGAATATTTCACTATTCCCATATCCTTGGGTTTGAGGATTTGATAATTCCAGCGATTAGATACATACTCGCACCCGACGCAAGTATTTGTGAAAGGCATGCACCATAGAACATCATCTTCAACATGCCCAATTATATTCATCCATATCGATGGAAAACAAGAGCTCAATGTTGATCCTTGATTAAGGTTATGTCGTTTCTTCTCCCACTACTCTCATGCTAACTACTACTCCGCCTGATCAAGACCTCAATTTTACAAAAACCCACCACATTACCTCCCTATGGACACCCTATCATATGTTTTTCCTTTTAAGTTAATTAGTAGGATCATGGCTCTTTCTTCTTTTTTTCTCTTTTTCCCCTCTAGACTTTCACATTAATCATTTAAGCAGGAACTCAACTTCCATAGGCAATCTCCCAGATATAAAACCAAATTTGATCATCATATACAAAATTGACGTTCAAACACCATTTTGATGTCTTTCATTGCTAAGACACTCTTTCCCAATGTTCGTCCCAAAATGATACTTCATGAAACCTTAATGAGAATCCTCGCTTTTTCAAGAACCTTTATAATCAATCAAAAATGCCTTATAACCTTAAAGATTTTTCTTTTGTGGTCATTCATGACTGGGTATTACTAACTCACGATCCAGTTTAGAAGGCCTTAAGAACTTTATGTCATGATATTCACATGCAAGATGAGCAAAAAGAGAATGGACTTATATTGTTTAAATGTCACTTTCTCTTGTTCATTACGGTAGCTCTTAATAATAATTTTTATTTGGCTTGATAAGTTCTAAACACACTCACACCTTTTCTCATGAACGAGAAAAGAAGAATCTATTGAGAGGGCACCAGATGAGAATTTCCATTAAGTTTGGCTATTATTGAATTCAATGCTTGATGAAATTATTCTTTCAAGGCTTCGGAAGGTAGCAAGACAGTCAGTTCTAAAAGTGTGCTTTCTTGAAGGAGATCTAGAAATGTTATTTCAAACTTAGCCAATGCCAATCACATCACCAAAAGCATATTCTTCCCTAAATTTCAAGATTCACTTTCATCACATGAGTGGCCTATGCAATGCAGGAAGCACTAGGAAACTTAAAATAGTCCAGCCTGCAATTAATTTACTGGTGGACTTAAGCCAAGAAAAATGCTATAGCTTTATGGTTTAAAAGTGTGGAAGAAGGGTAGAAGAAATTATGAAATAGAAATGGGTTTAAATCAGCTTGCCTTAGAAAATTATAGGTTGTTGGTAATTCTGGACTGCAACAATTTCAGGGTTTCTACGGGTTAAATTGAAAGCAAAAACACAGGAGAAAAAGTTAGAGTTGACAAGAACTTGATAAGATAGGATGCTGAGGTGAAATCTTGGCTGTTCTAAATTGTATACCATAAAAGTAGATAACAATTAAAGAGGGAGGAGTAAAAGAAGTGGACCTTTAAGACTCACCCAATAAGGTTAGGTTTCATCACATGTAGTGCAATCTCAAATTTTCACAACTCAATGCTATTGAAAGTGGAAAATCGAAAAAGGTGACAAACGCCAATAAGAGTGCTCCGGAACAGCCAATTTAACCACTTAAAATGTTTGCGATACCTTATATTATAGCACATCCAAGTCCCAAGTCCCAATTCCCGTCACTATCTAACCACCACAAATTATTGAAACCAAAAATCCAATGGAAAGGCCTACAGGAGCTATTGATGGCATGGCAAGGCAAGGCTATATTCAGATTCATGTGAAACAAAATTTATGGCAAATTATGAAACACGCCCAACTCAGCAGGCCTCTAAAATAGACTGTCAATTTGGTGTGACACATCAACTTCAGCAGACCTCAACTTCAATAACTACCACAAACAGCAAGCACACAGAGAGCACTGTAGCCTATAGGTGCTATCCCCAGCTCAAACAACAGTTACGTCAAGATGGATAAACCTAAATTATAACCCTAAATTATAGACTCAACTAAACTGTCCAGATCAGTTCCATAGGCAGAAGCTGAATAAATTCATAACATGCCTTCCATGATGGTTCTAGTTGCACACAGGAAATCAGATTATAGTAAAACACAAATCTGAACAATAACTAAACAGTAAAATCATAATTCAGTTAATCTTGTCCATCACCCTAACAACTCCACAGCAACACAAACAGTTAAAAATTAACCATATCTAACAAGAAATTATGATATTTGTTTTACTAACCAACAACTCGCAGAGGCTCGCTTTTCTTCCCATCAGAGAGAAACCCTTGAAGGCTGCTCGCTCTCGAGTAAATCGAAATACCATCTCCCTTCATTATAATCCTCGCCATAGCCACCGAAGCCAAATGACGAACAGGCCGACGGGCACCCAGAGTAAGCAGAGAATGAAGTGCGTCCTCACATTTCCTTTGCCACAAAAGTATAGATTCCTAAAATTTCCAAATCAAAAAATAAAAAAGAAATATATAGAACTCCATATTGCAAAATATAAATATATAAAAATTGCTTCTTGAAATCAACTAAATTCAAAATCAAATTTTGAATGAATAAAGTAAATCAATGAAGACAACAACAGCCGTCAGAATGAACAAAATGTGGAACCAAACTAAATTCAAAATCAACTTAATTGCTTCTTGAAATCAACTATATTCAAAATTTTAAAAATGTGGAATGAAAAAAGTAAATCAATGAACTCAACAACTGCCGTCGGAATGAACAAAATGTGGAATCAAACTAAATTCAAAATCAACTCAATTGCTTCTTGAAATCAATTATTTTCAAAATAAAAAAAATGTGGAATGAAAAAGTAAATCAATGAACTCAACAACTGCCGCCGGAATGAACAAAATGTGGAATCAAACTAAATTCAAAATCAACTCAATTGCTTCTTGAAATCAACTATTTTAAAAATAAAAAAATGTGGAATGAATAAAGTAAAGCAATAAACTCAACAACTGCTGCCGGAATGAAAATTCAGTACAACCAAAAATGACAGTATCTTGATATTAGCCGATCTCATACTCAATGTCATATATTTAATCCACCCAATAGTAACTAGATTGCAGTTATCAAGATTTAATAATAAAAAAATAAAACCTTCATTAATCTAAGAGAATTATAAAACCAAACAGTTATGAAACAAATGTGAAGCGTATTTGGAACAAGATCAAAATGGAAGACAAAGAAAGACAGTAAAAGCAGTGAAGATCTAAAGACAGAGAATAAATGCGAGGAGAGAGAGAGAGAGAATGGAAACCTTAGGTTCGTCGTCGATGGCAGAGATGAGATCGGAGAGGAGATCGAAGCAGAGAAGGGCGTCAGGAGAAGTGTGAGCTGCGGAGGCGACAATTGACTCCAACTGTGCCACCAACACTCCGAATCTTGATAAAGGTACGTTCTCTCTCACAAAGTTCTTCGCCATCGAAGTAGCAGAGATAGAGACACTGGTTCGTGTGATGAAGAACAGACCGACAGGTCCGAAATAAATGTGTTTCTCGTATTAGTTTCGTTATAAAGGTTTGTTGACGAATCCAGTTTAGTCGGGTCTATTGAACCGACTAAAATTGGTCAGGGTCATACTGGATCCGAGTATGACCCATATTCACTAATGCAAGAGACCATATTCTTTATTATGATGTGTTACGATGTAATGAGTTGCACTAGCCTTCCGAATTTCTGAACAATACAAATTAAGTTTTTATACATAAATTTTATACAATTAGAAAATTTTCAATTATCAGTTCTATAAATCTAAACCAAATATGCTCACAATTTTTTTAAAATGATTTTTAATAATTCAAAATTTTTAAAACTATAATTTTTAATAATTCAAAATTTTTAAAACTATAATTTTTAATAATTCAAAATTTTTAAAACTATAATTTTTAATAATTCAAAATTTTTAAAACTATTTTCAAACAATTACAAAGGAAATAAAAATTTAAAAAAAAAAACTTTATTTAACAGCCAAGTTTTTGCAGATTTTTCATATCTAAAAATAAGAAAATATTCTCAGAAAACTTAACTAAGCACATTCTTTAATTCTTTTCGCCAAACTTTATGTACAAAAAAATCCAAACTACTTTACTTCTATTATATGAATTATATTTTTCCAATTGGCAATATATAGACTTTGTTAAGTTTATGTTATCAAATCTTTCTTTATTAACTCCATTCGTGTTAATCCACAAACGTATCCCAATAGAATTTAGAGGCATGTCCCTCTAAATTTTGGGTTTCTAAAATTATCTTTTTATTTTTTCTTTATTTTCCATTTTACTATTCAAATTCCTTAAATTTCCTTAAAAGAAAAAGTCAAAATTGCATTGTTGAAACACTTAACTTTTTTCCTTTTAAAGTTCTCTAATTTTTCTTTTATTTTTCTTTTTCTACTTCTAGTTTCTTAAAATTCTTCTTTTAACTTGCATATTTGAATAATTTTCTTCTTCTTCTTTTTAATTTTATATTTGCTATCTTATATATATATTGCACCGTCAGCGTCACTTGAAATCATGGCTCAATTTTTATTTTATGTGTAAAACAATATACAAATCAATAAAAACTCATAATTGACGCAAAACTGCACTAATTTAACTTGGGAGGAATGAAAAAGATCTTTGACCAAAATTAAATCTACAAGAAAATACTTACTCGGTTAACATCAAATTTCCATGTGATATTTTAAGTTCCTATTTCGTTTCCTATTCACATTCTCTAAAAGAATTTAGTAATTTTTCAATTTCAAATGGAGGTTGAGTATAGAAACAATAGTGATTCTCTGGAAAGGAAAAAATAAATAAATAAATAAATAAATCATTTCTGTTTAACCGTAAAAAAAAAAGAGTAAGGACTGTTTTTAAAAATTTTAGATATGCATCTAAAGTAAAATGATTTTCAGTAAATTGTTAGACATACTTTTTTAATTGGTCAATTATACAATAAATAAGAAAGTGGAGCCCTCCATTTAGTTGTATTTGGAATAAATAACTAATTAAAAATTATTTAATTAGTAATTCACTATAAATATTTGATGTAAGTATCCCTACTCGTCTCTAAATTATATTGAGCCACTTTGACCGGAAAGACTGAAGGATGTTATCAAGAGGACCCAAGAATTATCCTATTTTTAATAACTAACTTAATGATACTTTCCATGCATATGTTTCACCTAAAAAAGAACCTTGTCCTTTGTTTTATCAACCTAGCATTTATGACTATATTTTGGTCAAAACATCCGACACAAGAAATATATAAACTACATATAATTCACAGCGGGCAACGATAAGAAGCAGGACATGACACCACCAAAAAACAAGCATATTCAATTCAACCGTTAAAAATTAAGGTAATCAAATTAAACCCATACCATAATTTTCCCAAACCGTAAATAATCATCATCAGAAATTAAATCAGATCCAACAAGAAAATCCAATTAAAATAAAATTCCTAAATCCTAAAATTGTGTAAGTACCATGCTATTAATATGTAAAAGTAGCATGGCATGAGAATCCAAAATCTAAAATTTAGTAGTAGTTTGGAAAATAAATTAACTAGTGTAACTCTTCGGCATGAGAATCCAAAATTAAGTAGTAGTTCAGAAAATACATTAACTAGTATAACTCCTCGGGCTTCACGTCAGTTTTTTTTTGGCAGGGTCATCAAGGATAAATCTTTTCCAGTGCCATTATCCTCCACACCAAATTGATTGGCTAAAACCATGTAGTTTAAATGATGAATTTTTTTATTTTCTTTTCTTTTTTTTTATATGCATATTATGGATTTACTCCACGTATTATATAATAATAATTATAATAATAATAATATAAATTCATTTATATTGCATGATTGCTAGTTAAATATGCATGATGATTGGTTAAAAAGTTATATTTTAACCCATGTAAGATTTATAATTGTATAAGAAGTTAAAGTAAAAACACACCATCCATATATTTCAAATCCCAATTGAACCTTCTCTTTTTATTGGAAAGAGGTGATACACCCTTATTTTTGTAAGATTTATCATTTGAGATATTGGATTTGTAAGATTTATCATTTGAGATATTGGAGAAAATTAAACACATGACAATTAGGTTAATGGTTTGATATTGAGCAGCTTACTTGTTTGTAATCGACTGCAACGTTGACAACTCTCTACATGTATACACATGACATAGTAATATAACATCGGGCGTGGAAACTATACTTACTAAGAAAAAAATATTAAAAAATAGTAAAAATAATTTAATCTATTATTTTTCAGCAAATTATTTTACACGCCCGATGTACTCACCTAAATTTTTGCCAAATACTAAAAATTAAAAAATATATTTTACTTAAAAAATAAGATATTTATATTGAAACAAACTGAACTATATAAATTGAAGGAATATAGTTCTTAAACTGATTTTTCAAACCTATTTCTTTGTATTCCTTTAATGTAGTCCATAGAATTGGCACTTGAACCCATCTACTATGTTACATTAATAAAACCTTGAATCCATTCAATTAAAATTACATGTTTAATACTAAGTAACATTTTTGGCATTAACTGTTTGAAACTTTGACAAAAAAAATAAAAATAAAAAATAAAATTAAAGCTAAGTACTAGAAACGTTTGGTTGTTACTTTTTAGTCTGGAACAATCCATTAGAATCCAAAATCTAAAACTATTTAGTAGCTAGCAGATCTATGAATAGGAGATGTTATGAAAGTATTTACGGGACCTAAATTATCAACGGACTATTCTCGAGAAGAGAGGAGCCGTGGTGGTTCCCCCGGACAGCCCGGATCACACAAGTGAATTGAAAGTTGGATCTACATTGAATCTCACCTGAATCGTCCCATCTATCCTTGTGAGGAAAAGTTTGGTTTCAAACCCCGATTCAAACAGGAGGAGTACGCCATGCTAATGTGCCTTGGATGATCCACATTTCAGGGTCATGCGCTGATGAGCACATTGAACTTATGAGATGATAAAATATAGCAAAAGCTATACCAAGAATTGGTTCATGTAGAAATGCACGTATTGGTTCATGTAAGAATGTGCGTAGAATACCAAAGGGGGTTATTCATGTTCAAGCAAGTTTCAATAATACCATTGTGACTATTACAGATGTACGGTTGGTCCTCTGCCTATAGTTGTGGGTTTAGGGGTACAAGAAAGGGGACACTTTTTGCTGCTCAAATTGCAACAGGAAATGTTATTCGTACAGTTTCTTTATTCTTCTTCTTTAACGTCTGCAGCCTTTGGGTTACCGTCGTCCACAACGATGATCTTTCGTAATTAACATGGGATGAAATCATTATAAATGTTCCTAATAAGTTATATAGATAAGAATGTAAAAAGATAATTCAACCGCTCCTCTACATCGTAGGGCCTGCTTGTGTCGCGCTCTCCACCTAATGGGTCTTCCTTTTCAACCCAACCCTTGTATAAGGAGCGAGCCTTGTATCTTTGACGTAACGGGACGGGGAATCCCTCTAACCGACCCCTCCTTAGGGTTCAGACTTTTCAAATAACTAACATAAACTAGCGAAACACAAAGAATCAGAGACAAAGAAAGTGTGTTTGAAAATTTGACAAAAAAAAAAAAAAAAAAAAAATTAAAGCTAAGTACTAGAAAGCGTTTGGTTGTCACTTTTTAGTCTGGAACAATCCGTTAGAATCCAAAATCTAAAACTAATTAGTAGCTAGCAAAATAAATTTGCCGGTGCAACTCCCCCCCTTCACGTCCGTGATAATTAAGGACTACTCTTTGCTCCAGTACGGTCAGTACCATTTCAACACCAAATTGATGGACTAAAAGCATGTAATCTATATGATATATATTTATATATTTAATATTAATATGCGTGAAAAAATGCATGATATTGATGTGGCGTATCCTTTTGGATCAGGGCATTGGATTTTCTATCATGGATACGAGTATAGTTTAAATTAGGTCCAATTTTAAATTACATTCCATCTCAAATACAAGATCAATTGCGACTACTCTTTTATTAATATTTAATATTTACCAAAAATAACAACTACGAGTAAATAATTCTTTAAAACTACAGTAGTCATGTTTCAATTCTTCCCAGGATGCACATGTATGAATATGTTTTTTATTAAATTGATTTTTAAAATCTAGTTGAACTGTTTTTATTATTTTGATGTAATGAATAAAAACACTCAATAGAAAATAGATAAATAGATCTAAATAATTTTTTTGGTAAATATATATATTTTTTATTTTATGTAATGAATAGAATCATCACTAAATTATCTATAGGTAATAGACAAATAGATCTAAAATGGCTAGTTTGACATTAGGCCCTGATTGGTTTGTGTAGTGTAGTGTTCTGTGTTGTTATCTACAGTGTTACAGTACCCATTTTCAGAACACATGTTGTTTGACCCGCTTTGTTATGTTCTTAACAGTAGTGAAACACTTTCAGAACAAATCCAATAATTGGCCCAAAAGCTGGAACAACAATTTGGTGTTCTATGCTGTTCCAAACCCTTTTTTTTTTTTTTTTTTTTTTTTTTTATTGTAGCGGAGATAATGATAAATTTTTTTTAGGGCAAATCATTTCAGCCTCCCAATCGCCTCCGTCTTTATTCTCGTTCTCAACTCTGGAACTTGCTCTCTCTCTCTCTCTCTCCAAGTGCAAACACAAAATCTACGAGGATCAGAAGTTCAAAACCCGTCTCCGTCTGTATTCTCGTTCTCAACTCTGAACTCCCCCCGACACCCCCCCCCCCCCCCGACGCTCTCTCTCTCTCTCATTCTGTGTATGGAATAGATTCATCACTAAATTATCTATAGGTAATAGACAAATAGATCTAAAATGGCTAGTTTGACATTAGGCCCTGATTGGTTTGTATAGTGTAGTGTTCTGTGTTGTTATCTACAGTGTTACAGTACCCATTTTCAGAACACATGTTGTTTGACCCGCTTTGTTGTGTTCTCAACAGTAGTGGAACACTTTCAGAACAAATCCAATATTTGGCCCAAAAGCTGGAATAACAATTTGGTGTTCTATGTTGTTCCAAGCCCATTTTTTTTTTACTGTAGCGGAGATAATAATAAATTTTTTTCAGGGCAAATCATTTCAGCCTCCCAATCGCCTCCGTCTTTATTCTCGTTCTCAACTCTGGAACTTACTCTCTCTCTCCAAGTGCAAACACAAAATTTACGAGGATCAGAAGTTCAAAACCCGCCTCCATCTGTATTATCGTTCTCAACTCTGGACTTGCCCCCCCCCCCCCCCCTCCCTCCCTCCCTCCCTCCCTCTCTCTCGTTCTCTGCAATTGCAAACTACAAAATCTTCAGATTTGTAAAGTTGAAAACCCATATCGGCATATCATTTCAGATTGTTCAAAAAATCAAAACCCATATCTTTCAGTTTCCATCACCCGCTGTTCCAGTTTTGGTTCGCCGTTCGCAAACTTTGTAATTCTTGTTTGTATGGGTTTTGATTGTGCATGGGTTTTGTTTTAATTTTTTTTCAGATTGTGTGTATGGGTCCGCTGTTCCAGTTCTGGTTCGCCGTTCGCAAGCTTTGTAATTCTTGTTTGTATGGGTTTTGTTTGTGTGTATGGGTTTTGTTTTAATTTTTTTTAGGGCAAATCATTTCAGCCTCCCAAACGCCTCCATCTGTATTCTCGTTCTCAACTCTGCAAATCCATTTTTAGGGCAAATCATTTCAGCCTCCCAATTGCCCTAGTCTATCTCTCTTTGCAACTGCAATTCTGTGCGTATGAGTTTTGTTTTAATTTTTTTTTCTAAATCAACTAATCAAACTCTGTAATTAATTTCTTTTAATCATAAAAAAAATAATAATTTCTATTCTAAAATTCTCACTCCAAATTTTCATTTTAAACATGTTTTGTTTTCATTTCAGAACACTATATCAAAAATATTTGCTCTGTTCTAGACTAGAGCACTACATTACACAACACTTCTCAAACAGGCCCTAAATGTTGGTACCAAAACTGTTGAAGATTTGACAATTAACTCTCAAAAAAGATTTAAAAAAAAAAAATTTCAAAGCTGAGTCCCAGATAGCGGTTGGTTATGTCACTTAATAGTCTGGAACAATCCAAAATGTAAACGCACCACTGAACAAACACCTGTCTGGCTGAGCCCTCTACAAGAAACCACGTATATAATCCTCTTTAACACTTTTATTTCTTTTTTTTGAAAAAATTAAAACCCTTTTTTGATCAGCTTCAAAAAAAACCCCACTTGTCTCTCTCTCTAACATAGACATAGAAGCTAGCTTTAATAATCTTTGATCTCTGATCATGGTGGCTGGAAGGTCATGTATAAGCCGTATGGAGCCTCTCTTAGTAGTAAACTTTGTTGTGTATTTGGTCATACTGGGACTAGCTGCATGGTCTCTTGACAAATACATTAATGGCGAACAGAATCATCCTCGTGAGCTCTCTCTCTCTCTAGATCTTTAGATTATGTGTTGCCTGTTAATTCCCGTGTCTTTTCTCTCTAAAATTTTACATATATATATATATGTATATATATATATATATATAATATATATTTATGAGCAACAGATTTAGGTGGGAATGAATCAACAAGCTTCATGTTGATATATGCATTAACAGCCGGTGTGACCGGGGTATGTTCAGTTCTTGCTGGACTCATACATCTTCGAGCATGGCGCAGTGATAGTTTGGCCAGTGCAGCTTCTTCAGCACTCATCTCCTGGGCTATAACAGCCCTTGCTTTTGGGTACATATATCTATTTTCCTCCTTATATCTCTATTAAGACATGCACATACATATATATATATATATATAATTAGTTAATTACTCAATATGTATGTAATTTTAATGGACTAATTTCATACAAATCTATGTTCGCAACAATTCACACCCGATACTTATGTTATAATTGATAACATAATTGATAGCATGAAAGTGGTGCCTTGAAATTGAAAATCGAGAGGGGAAGGGAAATGTGTTTGGTAGCATAGAATTGGAGAAAAAAACTAGTTCAATTCTCCAATTCCATGCTATTGATCCGATTTCTAATATTCATGCACCAATTCGAACATAGGTGGCCTAAAACATGCGGAATTTAAACCTTCATTATCTAGAAAAGATACTCATGTTTCCAGTACTGATAAATGAATTTTGTTGGATTACTAGTCTTGTGTGCAAGGAGATCATATTGGGAGGCCACAGAGGAAAACGCTTGGTAATGATCTGTACTTAACATATTGTTGATATATTTTTTTTAGTAATATTCACAAGCTAAAAGATGGTACTAATGATTGATTAATATATACATACATATATATATATATTGCAGCAAACGTTGGAAGCATTTATCGCAATATCAACATTGAGCCAGTTCCTGTATCTTGTGATTTTGCATGCTGGTTTGTATAGCAACAGATATGGACCTTTTTATCGCGGCAATGAGGCTCAGTATGGCAGCACTAGTATAGTAGTATGACACATGAACTCCAAAAGACTGGCACTTCTGCTGTCATCTGAAAATAGATTTTAGATTTTAAACGACTATGCCTGTGTCTGTATTGTGTATATTATATATAGATTTTGCCAAGTTTTACTTACCAAACACAAAGAAATAAAATTAACCTAGTTTTTTGGTTTGTACATAAGCTATGCATGTATGCAGAACTCGAAAATGCTTCATCGGGAAGTTGCATTTTCAAGAATAAATTGCACACGCAGGTGCGTGAATTTTACTGTTATAATGGCCGGTGAACACTCAATTTTCAGGGGAAGGAAATCAGGAATGGATCTAATATTCCGACTCCTGTACTTAGAATCAAGGGGGTAAATTTTTATTCTTTTTATTTTTGCAAACAAAAAACCTTCCACCACCTTGCGACTGCAAGATAAACCTCAACCTCGGATATGTGTAATAACTCGCAAACCACACATAAACCCGAGTGCCCAGGGGAAAGTTCATCCTCAAATTTAATGAAATTGTGGAGAACATTGAAATGCATTTTGTGTTTAATAGTATTTGGATTGTGCACAAGGATCACGACACTAGAGAATTAACCCCATCAGACAATTACCTCCCAAATCCACTGTAATCACCAAACAAAGAACGGAAAATTTAAAGATATTATAAATAAAAAAGAAGAAGAAAAGAAATACTGATAAACAATAAATCACAGGTAAAGTACTATTTAAAACAATGGAGCCATTAGTATCGAGAAAACAAGCTTAAAGTCTGCAGCAACATCTTAATCTGAAGGACCTCAACAGCTCAATATCTTCAATGCAACAACCACAAACAGAATCTATATTAACGTCACTTGTGTTGAGCATGGAATGCATATCCTATGAACTCATTTTACTAGTGCGAATCTCCTGATTCGAGTTTTGAAGCTTCCTTGCTCTCATCACCACCATCCTCCTGAAACCATAAATCTACATATTAGTACCAGAAAAGCAAAACCACTTTAACTATACCCGACCTTAGGTCAGCTTCGCATACAAAAACCTTAGGCAGAACAAAAATTCCTAGTTCTGCAATCCAACACATGCAAAATTTCGAAACTTGTTTTGGTTTTTGGATTACAATACAGGAATTTAGGGTTTGCTCGACCCTAGTAGAAACTTTCCAAGTCCAATTTAGATCATTCGTCAGGTTAAGGCTCTAGACTCTGATCCAATTTCAGGTTTTAACATTAAATCAACAGGTCCACACCAAGTTGAACTAGTGGGTGGCAAGGAGAATGCTCAACATGAGAATACAGCTTTGTAGGTGTGGGTAAAAAATGAAGGGATGTGACATATCAAATTCAATATTGATTCAATCTCATGCCCATAATCATGTTTCAGCATAAAAAATAATACACGCATATCAATTATACATGTATGCACAGAGAGAGAGAGAGAGAGAGAGAGAGAGAGGGAGGAGAAGAAGACCGTGATATCAGAAGTCCACAACGTCAGATTGTCTCGGAGAAGTTGCATGATCAATGTGCTATCCTTGTATGATTCCTCACCCAATGTATCCAGCTCAGCTATTGCCTCATCAAAAGCCTGCCAAAGAAAAAAGCACCAAAAATAAACGTTGGATTTTTAAGAACATCATCGTCATCCTTGCCTTAATATCATATAAATGGGGTTTACCAGATGAATTCTCTACCATAACAAAATAAAATAGTTCAGACACAATCAGAAACATCACCCAATGTGTATTTTACCAAGGCAAGGTTCAAAAAATCTCTATTGGCCCAAGATCATGGTCTTCTCACCCAAAAGCAAAACAAACATCATTTGACTGGTATGTGCAGAAATGATAAATCAAACAGTGGAATGAACCAATTCAACAAGACCCCGACCATGTATCATAAAGAAGAGAGATTTGTCTTTAAAACTGAAAGCTTGTACTAATTATGCACCCCCGATCAAGTGGTGTTACAGTGGTTGGTGTATTTATCTGGTTTTTAATTTCCAGTAGACAATAACATGGCTACACCTGCAGGTGTTCAGTGTTTTCCTTTTATTTCATAGAATAAGGTTGTCTCTATTAATATAAAGCACTCAGGACAGGTACCTCACTTGATGAAACCACAAAGCATCATTATAAAATTTTATGTACAACTACAAAGTAAATTTGAAATGCCTGGGTTTACTTCTGACAAGATATGTTGGACACATATCACCATATGCATGTCAATATCATGTCATCTCCGACAAAAGTTCTAAACACGTGTCGAAGAGTACATGTAAGTTTTTTTTTTTTTTTTTTTTAATAACTTTATGCCACAAGAACATTAAAACCAATATATCAAATAGACTATGAATACTTTTGAGGATGAAAACAAGACCACCATGGAGAATGGCAACACTCAAGTCTCCAACCAGATAATGCCAGCAATGAAAATTTATTCATTCCAAAGTGGTAAATAACACCTTGAAATATGACATAAACCACGTAAACAATTATTACAGAATGATTTGTGTAACCAGCTTCCTGCAAACAATGGAAATTAAGAGGAAAAAAAAAAGACTTTTCTTAACTGTAGCATGCCTTCAATATTGATCTTTGTTGCCAATTAATCAAGGTAGGTATTCATACGAGTATTGAATTTTGGAAGACCAAAGATCCCAGTAGAACTACTGGTGGATATAATGATAACATTCATAAAATGATTAAAATAAGGGATTCACTTGAAATTTGGCCATTAGGTTCAAGGAAAATGTTCTTCTGATGAAAGAAGAAATTAGAAAGCAAAAAATCTTTGAAGAAGCTTTTTTTTTTTTTTTTTAGGTAAGTAAAAGCTTTGAAGAAAATGCACAAAGGGAAAAAAAAAAAAAAAAATGAAAAAGAAAAAAAAAAACCTGAGATTCCAACTTCATTTCAAAATATCACAACAATAAAAATATGAAAAAGGACCATTGGAGGGAAAAGAAAAAGGGTCATTAATATGCATACTCATAACTCCAGTAAAATGGTGGAGTCAAAGGAGAAGGGCGAGAAGCTCCCTCATAAAAAACCACCAAAGCTTAAACTTTAAAACCTAAGAGAACCATTATACTACACATTACAAAAAGAAAAATGGGGCCTTGATTAAAGATATTAAGAACCTAATTGAGGCTCCTCAGAAGGAAATTAGGATCTAACCATCAAGTTAATTCAGTAATTACCAATAATCACAACCTATTTGGTCCAAAAGAAACCTTCACAGCCACTTACTAGCACTAGGATCCTACAAATAAAAGGAGCAGTAACAAAACCTTTTAAAAGACTGGAACAAGGTAGAAAGAAAATCCACAGTTTATTCCCCTTGATCAAAAAGATATATCTGAAATGTTTCAAATTAATTAGCAACTTAACACTTAGAAACATAGTCATAAAGTACATGGAATTGCATGCTTAGAAGACCAGAATTCAATCTAGTATTCCAATTTAACCCAGAAGATCAAGAAACATCTTTCCAATGTGTAGTAGAAGAAACTCTGATCTCCATAAGATATGCTATTCCAAAATCAAGCGTGATAACAACCCGGATCACTTTATTTGCTTTCTTCTCTCACCCACTTAACTACAAATCATAATTTAAAAAAGCATTTGCATTCTCTTGGTTCCGTTCCCTTGTAAATGACACCTTACCCTGATTCCCATCCAATGACCTTAAAATGTTTCAGACCCTCCTATATTTAAGATAAAGGCAACAAATGTGGACTCATGCATACTTTATAACCCTACCACGAAACAGTAATAACAACCACCCAGAAAAACAACTCTCAAAGAGAAAAAGAAAGAAAAATACCAATATATATCCACCCAATCCCACGGACATTTCCCCGCCCAATTTGGAGGCTGCTTCCCTCATATCTCCTAGCCAAAGGGCCTTACCTAGTCTATAGAAAGAGGGTACCTCTGCAAGCCTTCAATTCTTAGTCTAACGCCTTCTTGAGCCAATGAAGGTTCATCTATTGTTTATGATAAAGTCGTCACTTCTAAATTTTCATTCTGCAGCAATAAAAAATATATATTTTCCTCCTTCAATTTTAACAAAAATTATGAGAAAAACTTTTGCTGCTCCATAGCCAAAATCTTTCAAACAGCATGCATAATAGTATCTTGTCAGCAATAAGAATTGAACCCTTAACTACCCTTCCTTTTTAAGATGTAATGTCAAAAAATTTTCACTCTACTACAAAGGCTTTGGTTCAAAACCTAAATCTTCATTGCTATAAACCTTGACCTCCAGTTATAGAGTATTGTTTGCTCACTGAGCTATAGTTACTTTAGGAAGTTGAACCCTTTTGTAGACATCATTGGGTTTTGCCACCAAACAAGATCATCAATGGAAGAGAACCACATATTCTTCAATAAAAGGCAGAGGTAGCATATAATGCTGAAGAAACAATGTAGTATAATTTGGGCAGTAGTTAGATGTCATTATATGACAGTGAACAACTCCTCCCAGTTTAACAAGAAAAAGTATTTTATGCAACAGAAGAAATTGATAGATCAAACTTGTAAGAAGGATCTCCAATCAAGAACACAAGGACCTTCAAAGAACAAGTCATCCGAAACAATTGAACGCGGGCAAGGGGTTGAGACAGGCTGCTCTCCCCATTGCTTTTTACTCCTGTCAGTGAATATTTTTCTTAAGTAGATTGAGAAAGGTTGAAATTGTCCAATTTTGTAAACATTCACATTTGATGGTTACCTTCTTTTTTCCCCATCCCATAGTATTTTCCAGCAAACAGAACATAAAGCAGACTCAAACATACATAAATAAGTGGATTATCCATAAAGCTGCAGTAGAAAACAATGAATAACAAATAAATAGTACTAGTTAAGTAAGGAATACCTGTTTCGCAAGACTGCAAGCACGATCAGGTGAGTTAAGGATTTCATAGTAGAAAACAGAGAAGTTAAGTGCAAGTCCAAGTCTTATTGGGTGGGTGGAAGCTAGATCAGCCAAAGCGATATCCTTCATCAAAGAAAACACAAACAAGCAGATTCTATCAATATCAATATAAACATGTTCATAAGAGCAAAAGTGCCATAATTGGACAATGATCACCAACCTGAGCAGACTTGTAAGACACCAAGGTGCTCTCAGCAGCTTCCTTCCTCTCGGGCCCGGTCTTAAACTCAGCCAGGTACCTGTTATAATCACCCTTCATCTTAAGGTAAAACACCTTGGACTCGGCAGATGAGGCCGAGGGAACAAGATGCCCATCAAGAAGGCTCAGAATTCCTTCACAGATCTTGCTGAGTTCCAACTCAATCTTACTCCTATATTCCTTAATAATGGCAACATGATCCTCATTTCCGCGGCCCTCTTCCTTCTGCTCAATGGAAGAGATAATCCTCCAAGAAGCCCTCCTTGCCCCAATCACATTCTTGTAAGCAACAGAAAGGAGGTTCCTTTCCTCCACAGTCAGCTCCTCAACATCCACCGTCTTCGCCACTTTCTCCATGAACTCAACCATTTCCTCATATCGTTCGGCCTGTTCGGACAATTTGGCCATGTAAACATTCTCCTCCCGTGATGGTTCAGCCGGCGACATCCTTGATATAGTAGAAAACTAATAACTAATTCTGCAAAGTAATTGAAAGTAGGTCAATCTATCAGAAACATGATCTAAACATCATAAAATGCTTATAGATATGAAGTGCATAAAATTCTCTAAGTCCCCCCCCCCCCCCCCCCCCCCCCCCCAAAAAAAAAAAAAAATTTGCTCCAATTGAACTTCTAAAGACTAACTTAAATAGTTGTAATCAGAACTATTGACCAAATGAATCTATCAGAAACATGATCCAAACATAATAAAATGCTCCAATTGAACTTCCAAACCCAAAAGAAAAGAATTTTTTTTTCTCTTGACTAACTTAAATAGTTGTAATCAGAACTATTGACTAAATGATTCTAGCTTTAATGGATCACTGTATTATTCAATATTTTTGGGCAAAGCTGAGTATAATAAACAAGAAACATTCTATATCTATAAGAGTCAATACTTCAAATTCATCTATAATTCCGGTATATTCATTCACATACTGATAGCAACTGATAAAAGCGAAATATAGCTAAAAAATTAGCAGATCGAAACAGAAATAGCGTAAATGAACATAGAATATTAAAGATCTAAACCCTAACCCTACTATGAAAAAAAAAGAAAGAAAAAAGGACGAGCATACCTTTCTCAAAATAGAGACTCTCTCTCTAGAAGGGAAAATTGGAATGGAGAAGGAGAGGGAGGGGGGTCTTGAAATAATTGGGGTCTGTTACGGAGCCTCCAATGGGAACGCGGGAGGTGGTAGGTGGGCGGAGATTGACATGTAGCGCCACGTTGGCGCTGACGGTCAAAGCTTTCAATTGTCGGTACTTTTAAGATAGACATCAGTAATTATTTTCGGCATTGTTTCGTGATTTGCGTAGGAGAGGAGGATAAGAACATTATCGTGACACGCCTCTGATAAGCAACTAAAGAATAGCGTAGCACGAAACCAAAAGTGGTGTTTATTTTCCAAAACGTATTCCAGAAAGGGGCGATATTTAGGTTGTGTGAGCCCTACACCATTCAATGTCACAATCATGCTCAATGAAAAATAAAAGGGCTACAATCATAAAAAATTTATTTTATTTTTTAAAAGTATTATATAAATTTTTTAATTATAAAATAATTTTTTGAATTAACAAAAATTATCACGTTAATTCCTTTCTGCTATAGATCGTTTATTAAACTGAAATATTACAAATTACAAATGTTATTTTGCTCAGAAAAATTATGCAACTGCTGTACATGATACGTTCATATTAATTTTAGACGAAAACTAACGGAGGGAGGTAATATGATAGATTTTTTAAAACATTAAGGGGGTAATATGATAGTTTTTTTAGTAGGGTGGATTAGTTGGTAGCTTTCCGAAACAAGAGGGAGTTTTATTATTTTAACCCAAATAAAAAAGAATAATGCAATTTAAATATAAAAGTCATTTATTTTAAATTTTTTTTAGGGAAACTTGCACTTCACTTTTTTTTCTTTTTTTTAACGTTTGCACTCGATTTTTCTTTAAAATAAATGACAAAAAAGTCCACAAATTAATTAATGCAACATCTCTTATTTTATTATACCATAACTACCCTTTACACTATAATATATATATATATATATATATATATAGTACTGATCTCTTACTCTCCATAGAGTAAGAAAATTTTTCCACACTTTTTATAGTGCTCATTAGATTTAATCTAAGGTCATATTCTAAACCCACCTATAGTTTTCCTTTTAATACAAAAATCACTATCACTATTTCTAGTTTCTAAATTTAATATTTACCAATATAATTAATTATAGCAATAAAGATAAGTACTAAAAAAATAAAAATAAAATCTCTTCACCTCTTGAAATCACATCTCACCATTAATTGAAAATTTTTTTTTTCTATAAAAAAAAATTTATAAGTATTAGAAAATTACATTCATGACTTGATACTAAAGTTGACATTGTCTGTTTAAGTGTAAAACGAAATTAAAAATTATACTATTGACAAACAAAACAATGAAACATTGACTAAAAAATAATAAAAAATTAAAAATTAAATCTACTTGATCAACTTAATGTAATATGTGATTTGCACTGCACTTCACTCATAAAAAAATTTATAGATTACAATTTTAATTATATAAAAATTAGAAATTCAATATATTTTTCTTTAACTCTTTGTCACAAATTATAACTAGATGTAAACACATTCCAATTACTCATTTGTTATAATAAATCGCACAATATGTTTTTTTATAGTTCTACTATAATAACAAAAATTTATTGACGTAACGAGGAGATTCACAACAAAACATGCTATTATTCTATAAAATTTCAGATTTCTTTTGTATATTAGTTATTTTTCTTAATATTTTTTTTAATACTACTATTATTATACTATCATTATTTTTATTTTTTTAGTACATACCTTTTATTATTATAATTAATTGTATTGGCAAATATTAAATTTGAAAATTAGAAATAATAATAGTGGTTTTATATTAAAAAAAAACCATATACGTGGATTTGGAATGTGACCATTAGATTACTAATGGTCACTGCCGAAAGTACATAAAATTTTCTTACTCCCAAGAAATCAATACTCTCTCTCTCTCTATATATATTTACTTATCTGTTTGAAAAATGATAGTTTAACTTGACAATAAACCAATTGTTCTTCTAAATTTTATCCCAGGTATTAAATGTACTAATTTTAGACAAAACAACTATTTCATCCTGATCTTCTTCATTCCTTTTTCATTATATTTTAATTAAATTTAAGAGAAGTACGGACAAAAAATAATAATACAAAAACTTGATTAGAGCTACACAGAAGCTCAAACATCAAAAAGTAAATATATTTGTATATAATACCCATCTCTCTCTCCCTCTTTCTCTCTCTCTCTGTATATATTTATTTATTTATTTTCACAAAATCCATATTCTTGAAATTTTATTATCAAAATAGTGAGGGCTTTGAAAATCAACAAGAAGATTTAAATACATTTCAAATTAATTCTTAAAAATCACATGGATGTATTTATTCAAAAAAAAAATCACATGGATGAAAAAAAATTAAATTAAACTTAAAAGCACACAATACCAAAAGAAAAATAAAAGAAAAAATTATCACCACCATTTATATAGATGAAATTGAATGGCTCATGAAATTTTTGATAGTTCTAATACATTTTTTATACTAACAAGATCAATTATTTTAAATAATTTCATCATTTTCTTCACTTGTAAGATCTTCTATTATTACATACAAAAGAGAAGATAAATAATATAAAGTAGAGAATGAACGTGTTAGTTGGGGGGAAAGGGAGACCAATATATCTTTACTTAACTAAAAGGGTAGTTGTGGCATTTGGTAAAAATAATTATTTATTTATAAAATTAGGGATGGAAGCTAAGCATGGAGTACTGTCGCTGACGTTTTGGGAGCGAATTCGCCCCAAATTCGCAAATTCAGTTTTTTGAGTTCGCGAACTCAATTTTTGACATGGACGGCCGTTTCAGATTTGTTTTTTTTTTTTTTTTTTTTGTAAAGAAAAAGAGAGAAGATTAAGATTGAAGAGATGTGTGTGTGTGTGTGTGTGTGTGTGTGTGTGTGTGTTCGCAGATCTGAAGATGAAATAAAAAAGCACTAGCTATAGTCACTTCTATCTCCAAAGATGAAGCCTAATCTTCCGACGAGATCTCCTTCAATGGACAATGAATGTTTCGTGATGCTGTTGTAGGTTGTGATTTTGCCCATCGAGATAACTTCTTTGGCATACAGAGCTCCGCCGCTTGTAACTTGGCTGCTGATCTTGATGATGCAAATGCAAAAAGAATAGGGTTTTACTTAATAGAATATGGGCTGTCTTTTAAAATGGTAATGGGCTATTTTTTCCCAAAGTAATGAAACTGTTATGGTGTTGGGCTGGGATGGATGGGTGGGTCTGGGCCATTTATAAGTTATAGATTGATGGGTGGGTCTGACCTTTTACGTGGGCATTTTATAAGTTCTAACATCTCTTGATTTAAAAAATATATATATTTTTTATATATATATATAACGTAAAATATATCATATACATGATGGGGACTTTATTAAATAATATCCAACAAAATTCTTACATAATTTATCTTCTTTTAAACTTTTATATATTTTTATGAAGAAGTTAGACAAAAGAAGCTAAAAAAAAAATCCTACATTTTAGCCAGAAAAAAGTTACAATGGCGTAAAATAAATAAAATGGATTGTATACATACACAAGTAGTGGATGAAGAGGTGTATTAATATTTTAACATAAGTAAAAAGTAAACTTCCAAGGATGAATGAGCAGAAAAAAGTAAAAAAATAATAGTAATAAATAAAATTTTAAAAACAAAAACAAAGTACATTTTTTTTTAAATAAAAAAATGTATAATATATGATAATATCTAACCTTTATCTTTTTTATTTTATTTTTAATTTTTTATTAAAGCATGTGTATCAGTCTCATAACATACTTACTATTAGTTCGAAAGCGAGATCTTAAATATTTACCTTATGGATCCCAACTATAACCAATAACATAACCTTATCAATAGTGTTGTTTGTGTGCAATATATATAAATTTTGAATTGAATTCATTCAGTTGATTTTTTTGTAATTTTTTCTTTGAAACTTTGACCAAATAATCATAAGCATATTTAGTAAAGTATATTTGTCACAAATTTTTTAACAGATAAAATATAAAAATATATTTATTAAAAAAAATGTTATAAGTTTGAAAATTAAAATGACTAATTAAAAAAGTTATTTTTGAGTTAAATTTTTAATTTTTTTAGTCAATCCACGTTGCACAAGTGGGTTGGACTGCCAAGCCTTAACTACATTCCGAGCTTGGCGTGTACACAGTGAAGGAGTGGATCATTTTCTATCGAAGGAAGGGTTTGGGGGTTTGAGGAGATGGGATTTGTGCAGGAAGCTAGAGAAAATCACGTCAAGAAGAAAGTCGAAGAAGGTAATTGTTATTCTTTAATCTCCTCACTCAAACCCTAATTATGCCCCCATCACCATCATCACCATCATCATCATCATCATCGTTATCTTTATATATATATATATGTATATGTATTCATGTGTGTGGGGGTGTTCATAAAGCTATCATTTTTTATTTACTCACTTTAATTACCAAGATTCAAATGTTTATTTCTCATTTGCTGCAATCAAATTACTCCCAGACGACAAGCTAAGCTAGTATCAGAGGTTTAGTTCAAAAAACCATTTCAAATGCTTAATCTTCTAGTGTATCTCAGTATCCATCGGTGAACATCAATTTTTGTACAAGAACTAGACACACACTGGTATACCTACTTCAGGAAATGGCAAATTGACTAATGAATTTGTTTTTATTTGGGCTAAATCGCCTCACATTTTGTGTATAAGCTAGATATATAAAATTCTGATAATATTTTACAATGTTCTTAGGCAAAGGGTTTGAGATGATTTCAAATACTGTTTGCTGGACTGAGGTAGGAGTCACTTAATCATTCATCAAACTTCGAGTGTGAAAAATGCATTACAAGGTAGGTAGTATAGGACATTTGGGAAGGAGCAAAGGGTTTGGGGAGAAGTTGTGGCTTAAACCTATCTTTATATTATATAGAAAAATGTAGAAAATCCCGTCAAGGAGAAAGTCGAAGAAGATAAATATTATTGTCTCATTCCCTCGGTCAAACCATAATTATGCCCACATCATCGTCATCTATGGATAGACACACTCTCATATATATATATGTATGTATGTATGTATGTATATATTTATAAAGCTATGTTTTCTAATTTACTTCCCACTTCAATTTTAAGATTCAAATGTTTATATCTTTTCAAACATTCCAGACGGTCTCATTTGCTTCTATAAAATGACTCCCAGATACTTATAAAAGAAAAAAAAAACAAAAAGTGACACCCAGACGACAAGCTGTTTTATAGGTTTAATGCTAGGGTCTGCAGCACAAAAACCATTTCATTTACTTAATCTTTCAGTATATCTTAGTGTCCAATGTTGTAGGTGAAATGATTTTTTTGTATAAGAATCAGTATATACACCTTCATTGTGGTTTAAGGGTGACTACAGATATCAAAAGGACTAGTCCCCTTCCCAAAGGGGCGAGGGGATCCTCCCACAACCAAAAATAGTATGTACGTACGTACGTATATATTACCAATTCAAGAAAATATGTTTTTATTTGTGCACATTTTCATCATTTTGTGTCTATAAAGTACAAATATGACAGGGAACTAGGTATGTTCATAATTCAGATAATATTTCAATTGTTCTTATGAAAAGGGGTTGAGATGATTTCAAATATTATTTGGTGGACTGAGGTAGGAGTTTTTCTGGCAAATATAAGGCTCACTTAATCATTCATCAAACAGAGAGTATGTAAAATGTATTACAAGGTAGATGGTAGCGGACATTTGGGGCGGAGCAAAGAGTTTTGGAGAAGTCAGGGCTGTAAAATAGGGTGCATCCAATAAAACATGTCATTTCTTAGAAGAATGGGTTTGTGATGGGAATGGTAGGGCGAAGTTTTTGAGTAATTTGAGAAATCATGCCTTTTGGTAACTTCTACGATTTTCACCATTTTCTGGTATGAATAGTTATTCTAGGTTCTGTCACAGTGTTGATTTATGTTGAATATTCATCCAATTGAGAGCAGAGAGAATATGGTTACTTTGCAAGTTAGGCCTTTTTTTTTAATTATTTTTTATTTTTATTTTTTTATTTATGGTTTTGATCATTCTAAGCATTTTTTTTTTAACTTGAGAAGTGATTTTCAATTTATATCGATATAAGAACCTGTCTGTTAAGCTCTCTTTCTTTGTACAGTCTGACAGGCAAAAATATCTTCATAAGTGGTCGTATGATGTTGACTGTTGAGGAAGTTGGAAATTGGTGGTTATTATGTCAATCAAACTCCAACTTGGCGGATCACATCATCTACCTTATTGTCCATCTCCCATCTTTGTTTATGTTGTGGTTTCCGTTTGGTCCTTGGTGCAGTTCATGGTGTACATACATGGTTATTCTTGTTTTTTCCTGGTTATATAGGGCTTGGGGATCAATAAGTTAGTTTATAAAACTACATTCATACATATATTGATGGCCCTGTATTCTTTTGGCTCTCTTTTATGATTCTGTTGAGAATGGATGTTCATTGCTCACCCTATATTATCTCCTATCCAAATTTGCTTCAAAATAGAATCTACTTGTATTTTGGATGTCTTATATGTCTTTGTTTTGATGAAAGTTGTTTACTTCTATCAGTAAAGGCAAATAAAGGTGAATTTTGTATTTTTTTTAATGTCTTTTAGATACATGCAATACTATATTCATTTATCAAAATTGCAGCTTTACGTAGCAAGATGAAGCAGAAGGCACTAAAAGAGTGCGATCAGTACACTGCAAAATATGCTGAATGTTCTGCAGGAAGGACACTTTCGGTGGTTTGGAAATGTCGCGGACAAGCTAAAGAATTAAATAAGTGTCTTCATCAGTAGTAAGTTTGATGTTAAAATGCTATGGGATACCTCCCGTTTTCATTTTTTTCCCCTTTATGTATTGGCTACTGATATTTTGACATTGTCTTTTTCTTTGCAGTACCAACGACTCTGTCTTGGAGGAGATGAAGAAAGAATACACGCTTCAACAGGAAGGAAAGGGGCCTGTAAGAGTTTGAGACTTCCGAGTCCATTTTCTTTAATTATATTCTCTATTGATCAGGAGTACCCAAAGCAAGTGTTTCTGTTAATGCATGTGGGAACAACTCTAGTGCGGACCATATCATAGCTGGTTTTGAACTTTACAATTTGTCGGTTGTATTTTTTTATTTTCTATGAAATTATCAGCAGCAGCAACTATGAAGTGGGTAGGGGATGAGCATTTGAGAAAAAGAGATGTTGAATTTCTCTGAAATTATTAGGACTTTTGGACTGTTTATATTAAGTAGCTATCAAGAAATTTTCTGTTGTCTTTGGTTATTGTCAAATTCTGTTCGTGAGTTTGCTCTAATTGGAAGTACAAATTGCATTTTGAGGCCTCTGGGACTGTTCTGTCAGCATATAGTTTAGTATTATAAATCTGAAATAAATATACTCCAGACGTTTCTCGGATTCACTTTCCAGTGGATTGACTGGATTCCCACCGCCCTGCTCAAATTCCTAACGCCATTTTCGTTCAAATGCAGAGCTTATTCATCTTGAACTTGCCATTCTCAGATGGGCTCTTGACCTAGAGTTTGCTCTTCTAAGCAGGCCCCATGGTAAAACTTGTGAAGGCTTTGTTATAGGTCATCTGTAATACCCAGATAACGCGGCATGTTTCTTGTTTTTGTATCGAGTTTGTGAGCCAGGGAGGCTTGAGGCTTTGTGGCATTATTAGAGTTCTTGCGAGGCAAAGAGCCCTAACATCTCTTGTATCATACTGAAAAGGGGATGCTATATTACAGGATTTGTGAGAGAACTCTTTAACCTCTCTTGCATTATACTGAAAAAAGACATACCAGTACTTTGGTTCATCGCTATTTTCAGTGGCAAGTGTGATTACTGTTTCTTGATAAATGCAAATGACTGCTATTCCAATTTTTTAGATTCAAGCTTTTACTCGAAGAACAATGGTTACCCTTCCCTAATTAACACATCTATATTCAATAGATTAGGCTCTACTCTGCAACTCCAATGGTATTGCAAATGTAGAGACTGGGAAGTGGGAGCTGTTTCAACGCATTCATACTTGCATTCACATACGAAAGCAAACTAGGACGCCTGTTTCCACAAATCACCGGATCGTACTGCATACATTCAACCAAGAAAATTTACAAAAATGCGTAGGAAGAAGCTTGCTTTGTCTTAATTGCATGATACAAGTTACACCATTAATGGTTCTTCCTTTAAAAAATTTAAATAATAATAATAATAATAAATGAATCCCTCAATCTCAACTGGAAACCAAGCTCGTCTGTACTGAAGCTGTTGGAAACATATGTTGACAATTCATAATACCACCACCACCACCACCACCATCACCACCACCACCACCTGCTGTAATCAATTTGGCTTCCACATGTTACAGGCCTGCAAATAGCAGGATAGCTGCTTAGACACAAATCCAGGAAACGAAAGGCCAACAGAAAATTTATTGACTTGCTGGTTTGATGGAGAGTCCAGAAAAGTTCAGTGTCAATAATTGTTGAGAGCAAAACATGATACTAAAATGGCAGTAATGGTATTGGTAAGGCATTAATTTTTTTTTTGAAAAAAAAAAAAAAAAAAAAAAAAAAAACACGTATAAAGCATAAAGTTAATTTGAAAGTGGTATCAATCTTCGGGAGATTATGGAGTAATCTCAATTTTTCTGTGACAAACTGATTTCTACATACCCTGAGTTAATGATTTGCCGTTTCACAGAGTAGTTGTCAAAAATACCCTCCATATGAGGACTGATGGTTGGTTCAACATTGTGGTGGTTTACCCCCACAATATTCCCTCTGCCGTGCTCTCCCTACACAAACATCCAGATTGTAAAACAATACTCCAAATATTCTATTCTTTGCCTTGTAAAAAAATAAAGACAACGTTTTGAATGCCATAAAAAAGATTACCGTAAGAGCAAGGATCACATCTTGAGTGTCAAGACCAGAATTTTCAGCAAGTGTCTTAGTGTTACTAGTGTTACAAGGGAAACTTGTCCCACATCGGATCCGGATGAGAAGTGACATGAGTATAAATGGGTGGGTATGCAGCATTATCCAACAGTTCGAGCTTTTGCGTAAATGGGCAAGCGCCCACCCGTTACAGTTGGTATCAGAGCCAAACCCAGTCCTTGATCTGGTGCCACGCCAAGCGCCCAGCCCGAAAGGCGTCCGGGTGTGTCACCCTGGGTAGGTAGGGTGGCCCAACCGCAACGAGGGCGTTGCGAGTTTGGGTGGGGGAGAATGTTACAAGGGGAAACTTGTCCCATATCGGATCCGGATGAGAAGTGACATGGGTATAAATGGGTAGGTATGCAGTACTACCCAACAGTTCACCCTTTTGGGTAAATGGGCAAGCGCCCACCCGTTACACCACAAGAAGGGCATCAGCAAAAGCTTGAACACCAAGTTGGGCATGCTGTTTCCGAGTTATTAGACACCAAAAAGTATATCTGAATCAGTACAAGTGCCAAGGATATCTATATTGCCGGCGAAAAATTGAGATACGGGAAATTATTACCCCTTGAACAGTTTTCTTTACTTCATTGATTAAGTGTTGGCTGGCAAACGCCCCTGCACCCTGAACATAAATAGCAGAATATGTGATGCAGCAAAACCATGCAATGAACTGGCCAAGATAAAATACCGAATATAAACGTTCAAAGCTGCAGAATATAAAGATTCTGAACCTAAACTACATCCATATTCCTATCAAGTTAGAGTCGATAAGGATAAAAAGTATGAGCATAAATCTTTGACAAGAATAACACACATAATTCTTCTAGAACAATTAGTTAAGCAGTGCAGCTTTACCAGTCTCAGCTAGTTTAAAGAAAACAACTAATTCGGTGATGCTGAGACCCTTGCCCAACTTTCACTTTCCCAAATATCCCCCCATTTACACTTCATCAAGTTTCCTCTGATGTATGCCGAACCAACAGGACTTATTAACTAGGGGCTGGGGGTATATAATTACTTCTAACGTTTGTATTAACCTCTATCTACTCTTCTCCTCCTCATAAAATCCGTCTCCTAACGAAAACAAAAACATGAAAAAAAGGGGGAAGAGGGGGAAAGAAAAAGGATTCTTGCAAAGGTAAATGTCACACAACTTGGGCACCTCCCACAAATTTAGTGTAATCTTCTTATCCTAGTTCATTACCAAAATTAAGTGTACTGTACAATGCATGATACTAAGAACACACAAAAGGTGCTTCAAACAATGTCTTTGTAATAGGATTAATTTTTCTGATGCTGATATTTCTTTATATACAATATATTCATGTCAACACCATCTAAGCAATAGATGATGTCGTTTAAACATATCACAGAGTCTAGCAAGAGACTGCAAAAGCATCAATAATTACAAGGCAATATGAAGAAATATATCATGATTGTGCACGTTAGAGAACAAAAAATCTAACAGAACAGCTTATTAATAGAACTGATTCATCTTCAATAGTATTTTTGACTGCTCTCAAACCATCACGGATAGCATCTTTTATCTGGGCAATCGTATGGTCATTAGGTCCTGCAAGGTTAAATATGGAAATTACCAACAACAAAAAAAAAAAAAAAGACTACTACTAAATTTACCATAGGCAACTTTTAAAAATGATCAGTGAAGCCAAAAATAGATTTCAAGTACCTTTTGTTAAAATTGTGGAAGAGTAAGGATTCTTTACATTTTCCACAAAAGTATACTTCTCCTCTCCGAGCACATCCTCATAGACAAGTCCAGCCCAACCAAGACAATCAGGAGTTAAGTCATCAACAGAATTAACTGCTTCCCCACCACAAGCCAATACCAATCTTTCCATATTTCTCCTCTTTGCTCTTCGCAGGGCGATTATCTGAAAAATAACTCATTTAGCAAGTTGCAAACAGCAGACAAAGCAACACAGGTGTAAACATTACTAATTATTCTAACAAATTGACAAAATTTAATGTAGACATGGTACAAGCAGTCATTGTGAATCACCTTGCACTCATGTACCACCAAAAAAAAAAAAACAGTGGAATTGGATGTGGAATTGGATGAGCCCGTATTGAGGGGTGATGTCAGCGGAAACATAAAATGAAAACAACATAAACTGACATAGTACAAAACTTCATGATAACATATGGTTTAACTGAGGTTATAGCCTTTAAATGGTTGGACAAAGACTTTGTTGAGTTGAGTTGGGTTTGAGTGGGACCCTACGCAGGATAATATGTGAAGAAGTATCCCTGCCTTTCTCTTTGCAGATTTTGCATTTTTCTTCCTATGAGGAGGTTCCTCCCTCAAGTCATTTTTCTCTTTTTAATACAAGTTTTTCAACTGAAAATGTGAAGATTACTTTTTAATTTGGTTGACATCTAGACCATATGGACATCTAGTTCACAAAAGCAAACCTCCTCCATTGCATTTAAATATAAAAGAATGTGAATGTGTATGATGAAATTCATCCCCTTTACTCTTGTATTAAATAAGAATCTAATGGAAACACATTGTGATAATATATCCAAGATCATAAATATTTAAACATGCTACCATAGAAAAAGCAAAAACACTGGATATCATAAAAAGAATGTTTACAATGAACACAGTTTCAACAAGTAGTAAGCAACCACAATGAATGACACCACATTTTAATTTTCAATTAATTAATTTGGAAATTCATATATGGCCAGGGGTTGACTTCACAAACCCTATGATAAATTATTTCTCTAATAAGTAACTCTTCTCACAAGCAAAGCAATGACACAAAATAATTCTTGTAGAGTAGGAAGGACTTACCCCTGCCCTAGCAAGAAGGTCCAGTGACGGAGGATCAATTCCTCTTTGATTAATAACAACAAAGTTGTTATCATTACCTGAGCAGACCTGCGCACAACCGCAACATAAATCAAGTCCGAAGATGCTGCAAAACATAGTAACACGTATGCATAATGATGCCTGCACCTTATTCTTTAGTTCAATAATTTTTTTCACTCTCTCACCGACCGAGAGCCTTTCTGCAGCAACCATAGCTCCTCTCTGCTCTGCATTTGAGTAGAAAAAGCCTGCATTTATTTTGCTGAGAGGGAAATGTAAGTTCCATGTTATCCACCTAGTTTATCCAGCATCAAGTTTGGTTTATGTGTGATGCCAAGTTTCTAACTTCCTTATCAACATCAATTCTAACCTTCCAAAATATTCATCCACAAAAATCTAAGAAGTAGCAATAGTAAAAATCTTATTTGTTTATTGAGGAGAACTAGTCCCTCTTTTAGAAGGAAAAAAAAGAGTATATATATAAAAAACAAAGAAAGAGAGA